AAGAAGTAGCATTGAATTCACCTGATGAAGGGGGAAAGAAGTAGCACTGAATTCACCTGATGAAGGGGGAAAGAAGTAGCATTGAATTCACCTGATGAAGGGGGAAAGAAGTAGCATTGAATTCACCTGATGAAGGGGGAAAGACGTAGCATTGAATTCACCTGATGAAGGGGGAAAGATGTAGCATTGAATTCACCTGATGAAGGGGGAAAGAAGTAGCATTGAATTCACCTGATGAAGGGGGAAAGACGTAGTATTGAATTCACCTGATGAAGGGGGAAAGAAGTAGCATTGAATTCACCTGATGAAGGGGGAAAGAAGTAGCCTTGAATTCACCTGATGAAGGGGGAAAGACGTAGCATTGAATTCACCTGATGAAGGGGGAAAGAAGTAGTATTGAATTCACCTGATGAAGGGGGAAAGAAGTAGCATTGAATTCACCTGATGAAGGGGGAAAGAAGTAGTATTGAATTCACCTGATGAAGGGGGAAAGACGTAGCCTTGAATTCACCTGATGAAGGGGGAAAGAAGTAGTATTGAATTCACCCGATGAAGGGGGAAAGATGTAGCATTGAATTCACCTGATGAAGGGGGAAAGAAGTAGCATTGAATTCACCTGATGAAGGGGGAAAGAAGTAGCATTGAATTCACCTGATGAAGGGGGAAAGAAGTAGCATTGAATTCACCTGATGAAGGGGGAAAGATGTAGCATTGAATTCACCTGATGAAGGGGGAAAGACGTAGCATTGAATTCACCTGATGAAGGGGGAAAGAAGTAGCATTGAATTCACCTGATGAAGGGGGAAAGACGTAGTATTGAATTCACCTGATGAAGGGGGAAAGAAGTAGCATTGAATTCACCTGATGAAGGGGGAAAGAAGTAGCCTTGAATTCACCTGATGAAGGGGGAAAGACGTAGCATTGAATTCACCTGATGAAGGGGGAAAGAAGTAGTATTGAATTCACCTGATGAAGGGGGAAAGAAGTAGCATTGAATTCACCTGATGAAGGGGGAAAGAAGTAGTATTGAATTCACCTGATGAAGGGGGAAAGACGTAGCCTTGGATTGGATTCACCTGATGAATGGGCGAGTGGTAGCATTGAATTCACCTGATGAAGGGGGAAAGAAGTAGCCTTGAATTCACCTGATGAAGGGGGAAAGACGTAGCATTGAATTCACCTGATGAAGGGGGAAAGAAGTAGTATTGAATTCACCTGATGAAGGGGGAAAGAAGTAGCATTGAATTCACCTGATGGAGGGGGAAAGAAGTAGTATTGAATTCACCTGATGGAGGGGGAAAGAAGTAGTATTGAATTCACCCGATGAAGGGGGAAAGAAGTAGCATTGAATTCACCCGATGAAGGGGGAAAGAAGTAGTATTGAATTCACCCGATGAAGGGGGAAAGAAGTAGTATTGAATTCACCTGATGAAGGGGGAAAGAAGTAGTATTGAATTCACCTGATGAAGGGGGAAAGACGTAGCATTGAATTCACCTGATGAAGGGGGAAAGACGTAGCATTGAATTCACCTGATGAATGGGGAAAGAAGTAGCCTTGGATTGGATTCACCTGATGAATGGGCGAGTGGTAGCATTGAATTCACCTGATGAAGGGGGAAAGAAGTAGTATTGAATTCACCTGATGAAGGGGGAAAGACGTAGCCTTGGATTGGATTCAACTGATGAATGGGCGAGTGGTAGCATTGAATTCACCTGATGAAGGGGGAAAGAAGTAGTATTGAATTCACCTGATGAAGGGGGAAAGACGTAGCCTTGGATTGGATTCACCTGATGAATGGGCGAGTGGTAGCATTGAATTCACCTGATGAAGGGGGAAAGAAGTAGCGTTGAATTCACCTGATGAAGGGGGAAAGACGTAGCCTTGGATTGGATTCACCTGATGAATTGGCGAGTGGTAGCATTGAATTCGTCCGATTAAGGGGAAAGAAGTAGCATTGAATATGCTTTTTCCTGAATTAATGTCTTATCTTCAAATACATGCTTGTATATGAGTAATAGTGTACCATTTAGTGTCTGGCACATTGTGGGATGGCTGTGTAGCCCCGTGATGAGAGTGTTTACTGTATCACAGGTCCGTCTCCCAACGTACACAAGTCACTGTTGATGATCCGTATTGTGCTATTGATACAATAATGCTTATATCGGCTTCAAACGATGCGCACATTTTTACATTTTTTAACATCATGTTTACTGCTCATGTAACCAAACCACGTGTGAATAAACTATTTGCGCAGCAACATTGTCAAGAAAAAAGTCTCATTTTTCCTGTTAACAGAACAGCTGACAGAAATTGAACGAAAGAATTGTTATACTACCCCGGCATCAGTTAACACAGCCACTGGTAATCTGGAACTGCTATATCTGCCTGTGAATTTGCATCACACGACTTCATCAAAGATAGGTCATTAATAATATTATACTTTCTACAAAGTTATGTCTCATTTTTAAGGAGGTCTGTATGGTTACAAAAAGTTCATGTCGCCGCGCCATTTAAGCGGCGTAATGTTACATACTCTTACTGTTTGTGGCAAATTGAAAGGGTGCACTGTTGACCAAAATATTAATATTTTACGAACGCTTCACTAGGTTTTCGCTAAACGAGTGAATAGATACTATCAATTTCTTCACGTTTATTTACACTTCAAATCTGTACGATGTCAGTTAAGGATTCACTAAATAATAGTGCTAATCATTAAATATAAATATTGCAAAAAGTGATAGAAAATTTACAGCATCAATTGTTTTTTATCTCCCGGCCGCAAATTTCATTCATTCTGTTGTGGTCGGGTAGCCTAGTGGTCAAAACGTCCGCTCGTCACGCCGAAAATCCGGGTTCGATATAGGTACAATGTGTGAAGGCCATTCCTGGTGTCCCCCGCCGTGATATTGCTGGAATATTGCTAAAAGCGGCGTAAAACCATACTCACTCATTCATTCTACTTACTAGTAGTTTCAGACCCGGAAACAAATCAATACCCGAAATATCCCAAGCTATAATAGTGTTCAATACTTTGGCAAGTCTAGATTTCTTCTGTTTCAGTTTCATCTGACAATGCAGTGATTATCTGGGCTCCTGTCTATAAACATACTAAAAGACATCTTAACCGAAACAAATGTTACATATTTTCATTTCAGAGAATAAATGTCAGTCTACCGACTACCCTGATATCTCTGTTCCTTGTTCTACCTATACTCAGTTATGTGTCTACTAAACTGGCCGTCTTCCGCCCGTTGACTATTACAGTCAACCTTGATATAAGTTATAATGAATACCCTATACTGGGAGCAACTGTAGTTGGTCTGACCCAATAAGATCCTGTCACACTATAACATCCCGAGTACATCTTCTTGCCACAAGAGCATATCACAATGGGTATATGGTAGTTACACTGTCCGCACAAATATTTATTTATCCCTATGTAGCTCTTACCATCCACGTGTCTAGTTATCGTTTTACAGGCCCGTAATTCCGCTTATCTATTCATGTCGATATTGGCCTGTCCATCCATATGTCTATTATCTGTCCCTTGTCCGTCCATTCGTATGTATATCATGTATCTATTGTCCGTCCACCGGCATGTCTATAGTTGACCAGTTTATTGTCCATTCGTATGTATATCATGTATCTATTGTCCGTCCACCGGCATGTCTATAGTTAACCAGTTTATTTATTTAATGCAAATTTATATACTAGCTGCCCTAGTATATAAATTGTTTCAGCGTCGTAAATTCTGTTTCCATTGATATTTAATAAGAGGTTTTAAAATGTTAAATATTTTATCAGTTATTTAACTACATGCACTTTGTGCATTTTCATTGTTATTTTAGTGACGCCTCTCTGGCCGGATGTACAACATGTGACGCTTTACTAAAATAACATTCTGCTTCTTCTTCTTCTTCTTCTTCTTTAACCGTTCTTTTGTCGGTCCATTCGTATGTCTAGAACCTATCTATTGTCCTTCCATTCGTATGTCTATCATCTATCTATTGTCCTTCCATTCGTATGTCTATAATCTATCTATTGTCCTTCCATTCGTATGTCTATAATCTATCTATTGTCCTTCCATTCGTATGTCTAGAATCTATCTATTGTCCTTCCATTCTTATGTCTATAATCTATCTATTGTCCTTCCATTCGTATGTCTATAATCTATCTATTGTCCTTCCATTCGTATGTCTAGAATCTATCTATTGTCCTTCCATTCGTTTGTCTGGAACCTATCTATTGTCCTTCCATTCTTATGTCTATAATCTATCTATTGTCCTTCCATTCGTATGTCTAGAGCCTATCTATTGTCCTTCCATTCGTATGTCTAGAACCTATCTATTGTCCTTCCATTCGTATGTCTATCATCTATCTATTGTCCGTCCATCTGAATGTCTAGAACCTATCTATTGTCCTTCCATTCGTATGTCTAGAGCCTATCTATTGTCCGTCCATCTGAATGTCTAGAACCTATCTATTGTCCTTCCATTCGTATGTCTAGAGCCTATCTATTGTCCTTCCATTCGTATGTCTATAATCTATCTATTGTCCTTCCATTCGTATGTCTAGAGCCTATCTATTGTCCTTCCATTCGTTTGTCTAGAACCTATCTATTGTCCTTCCATTCGTATGTCTATCATCTATCTATATTGTCCGTCCATCTGAATGTCTAGAGCCTATCTATTGTCCTTCCATTCGTTTGTCTAGAACCTATCTATTGTCCTTCCATTCGTATGTCTATCATCTATCTATATTGTCCGTCCATCTGAATGTCTAGAGCCTATCTATTGTCCTTCCATTCGTTTGTCTAGAACCTATCTATTGTCCTTCCATTCGTATGTCTAGAACCTATCTATTGTCCTTCCATTCGCATGCCTATCATCAATCAGTTGCCTCTATCCCAAGATGACTGAGAGACTGGAGCCAATCTATGTCTAACTGCTACAATAACACCTCTGTCACCCACATGGCTTATATATAATATATATCCCACGGGTATTTGGCACAGACAGGCGACAATGGGAACTCGTAATCGATACAGACCTAACACGACTCAAACTTCCCACAGAAAGCCTCTTTAAACATTAATCTTCATACTTTCCTGTCTGCCGTAAGCTCGTGTTGTCTGTCTTTAACCCAACGTAATTACATTTTGACAGACGTGATTTCACAAAACTTGTTAAAGCTGTATTTTGCTTATCTGAGTGTTATCGAACCCACTGCTGGTCGGTCCTCCTAATGCGATTACAATGCATACTTTGTAAGGGAGTATATGAAATTTGCCCTTACGCTCTAGGATCAATCTCCAGGCGAAACGGACGAGTTCATTCAGTTGCCAGGGGGCAGGATATTGCTGTTACTATATCACAAACGTACGATAATTAAACCTTTCAAAAATCTATTAAACTGCCTTCGGTTCAGTATTATTATGGGAAGATATGAATATATATATTGATCAGTTATGATGTATTTGTGGAGTGATCAGTTTCGACTTTGTCAACGCTCTGATCTGTCCCCCCTCACGTGATTGTTATGGTCTATCCCTCCTAGGTAGAATAAGTTTCATTCCATGTCAAACAGGTGCACGTCAAGATGGCTCTCGACTACATGAAAACTGTTTATAAGCAAGAAAGAGATGTATCGCCACGAGCAAAGTAAGCATAAATATAGTTATTGTATCACCCATTTAATTGTGTCAATTATCAAATCAATGCCATTTGACTTCAAAACATGTAAATTGTTCTTGTAAAATATAGGAGATATGAATTTATTTTTCTCGCGTTCAAGTGCAGAGGGGTGGGGTGTGTGTGTGTGTGTGTGTGGGGGGGGGGGGGGGGGGGGGGGATTTTTAATTCTGAATTAATATAACAATTATACTGGGTTGTAAATGATTTAAGTCGTTGTACATAATCACACGACTCATCCCATTGCTTCGACCTATATACATATACATAGACAATTACAGAGATCGATCAAGTCAGTGAAGCATTTCAATATTCGTCCTTTGTCCTGCGGTGTATGTTGGTCCTAATTAACTTCCAGTCCCCTGCTGTTTGATGACAGGTAGTATATATACCAGTGACTATACATTTGACTATTCGATATTTGGCCACAATGAAGTAACCATCCAGTCACTGTTGTGTCTGCTTGTACTAGTCCAGACTTTTGCAAGTTTTATAGTGCAAGCCCACCGAGATACCATGCCGCAGTTTAATATGGATACCCCACTCAGACACAGTATACTGACTCCGAGCCGACCAGTCCTTGTTTTATCTCCTAAATACCGAGCGCCAGGCAGGGTAACATCAAGTACCATATTTAAACGTCTTTTGTTTCACACGGCCGGGGCATCGAACCACCGACCATCCGCTCGCGTCACACAATGGACACAGATTTGTAATCAGTGAAGATTACATGTTGTTACATTACACTGTACAGGCAACATGGCACCGCCTCATACCGTACACAAGAAATCCTTTTTCAATATCAATCTCTTTATTCGTAGACTTTTTTGGTTAAATTTGAAATTACTATTTAGCTTGGCCAAATAACCCCACAATGATATATATTTTTTTTACATATGAAATGAATTCGTGCATTTCCTTATTCCTGGCACTGGCAGGCTTTCGCTGACAAGAGTATTCTGGAACCAAGGTTATAAACGACATCGTATACGACTAATAGTTACGTTGGTAGCACTACGTACGATCATTTCGTCAAATTTGTTCAGCAAATTTTCTTTGCAACAACTCATCGCACCAAACCTCACTATCGAACTTTTGGTAAATATTTCGAAAAAACACAATTGCTTTTTTACATTACATGACTTTTGAATAATTGCATCGCTACGATTGTTACGTGAAACAGGACCTGGTGGTATGAAATATATCTGTAGCATACGTGGGGCCATGTGGCTACATTACATAATCACAGATGGCAATAGTCGTGACTGGGAGAAACTACATACACTTTCGATAAGGGCGAGCGTCGATTTTTTTCTTCAGGTAAATGTGCACGCAATGGTTGAGCTAAGTCAACACGTCTCGCCGTCTCCTGGTGATTATCGGCAACTATCAGTGTTCAATGGCATGACATAAGTACATCTTCATTGAGATAAATGTCGGCAGAGGTGGGTCATGTAATAGTTGAATAATTTATGTCGCCTTTATATGTCGCACAATCGGCCCGCCTCGCCCTATTCCGTAACAGCAAAATATGTTCAATGGAAATAGCCGATCGTGTTCAGAGTGTACAGTGCATTGTGAGACAAATGCAAAACAAGGATCCGGTTATCTAAGAACTTTTGAAACGGAAAGATGTTCTTTAGACCACAACATATTAATTAGTAGGTAGGCAGTCAAGGATCAGGGAACATGGTATATTGTTAGTCACTTATCTACCGTTTTAAAATGTTCGGGGGCAGACATACTGTCTGTTGTTTTACGCCGCAATCAGCACTATTCCAGCTATATAACCATGGCGGGGGAACTACCTATATGCTATATAATGACCGATCACTGATATTTCATGAGACGATGAAATACTATCACCTGCTATTTTTAATTATGAACATTTTTCAGAACAGTCATGTTGAATTTATTTACACACTATATCGTTTTCCTTCGCCTTTTTTTTTGTTTTGTTTTACACATTTTATTTCACCTTTTCCCTGTTACATGAGGAGGATGGCCATCCAGGGCAATGGTCACCCTCACATTCTGAAGACAATGTATGTATACATTTGGGGAAAATTAAATACAAGTATTGGAAATGGTGCCAAGGTGATTTTTAAGAAATATAACAAAACATACACACAGTCAAGCATTCAAAATATTATTCAAACACTGATCCTGGCTAGAAACAAATATGAGAAAGAGATACATATGTTATTGCTGTTCTGCTTCTTCAAACAATATGTGATAAAAGATCCATGATTTATAAAATGTAGCTACATTACCATTTGTAAAGGCTATATTCTTCTCAATTTTGTATCTCAGACTAACATCTTTTTGAAATATTGCGAAGCAAAGATTTGTTTTTTTGAATCTGCAAAAATATATAAAAGATGTAGCTATTAAAATAAGAAGATCAAATACTTTGTCAGTAACAATATTTTCTTTAACACCAAATAAAACAAGTTCAGCACTTAATTTCATATGATGTATATGGCTACATTTATTTATCCAATCTAAGAAGGTTTTCCAAAATACTTGTACAAGTTCACATTCCCAAAAAATGTGTACAATAGTTTCATCATAACATTTGCAAAAAGAACAAAGCGTGGTATCAGAAATATTCATTTTAAACAACAAAGAATTAGTTGCAAGTATTCTATGTATGATTCGATACTGAAACCAACGCAATTTCCCGCCTTGTGTTGCTTTAGAAGGCTTAATACAAATAATATTCCAATTCAATTTTCCAAACTGTAACTCCCACTTTTCCTGGCCTCTTGTTTTCATATCAACAAATACAAGAAGATTATAAATATATTTAGAGCCTGTCCTTTGAGAGAAGATCTTTTTAATAGCACAGCGATGTTCTTCTACAGAGTCAGTAGGGAGTTTAGTCAAATTCAAACTGGTCAAATATCTCTTAATACCACAAACAATACCATAAAAAGCCAAGAAAGTAGATTTTATCCTGTACATGTCTTTGAATTCTTCAAAAGATATGAATTCATGATTATGATTTACAATGTCTGCTATTTGGGTGATACCTTTATCAACCCAATCTTTCAAGAATATTGGTAATTTATTAACTTTGATGTTGCGATTGAAAAAAATAGGTTCAGCTAAAAAACTGCTGAAAGTATCTGGTACAATCTTCTTATCAAAATCTACAAAAGCTTCATAACAGTTTTTCCAAAATAAATTATAAAACAAACACTGTTTCTTTTCTATAAAATGAGATCCAAACTCTTCGACTTCATTAACAAAAGGAAATGCAGCCTTGTGGATGTCTTTCCACTTTTTGGTATCTCCACATAATAATCGCCTTATCCAAGTAATCTTAATAGATTTTGTGTACAAAAATATATTAATCATACCTAACCCTCCCTGTTCTACAGGTTGACAGACTTTTAGTCTTTTAACTTTATCAGTCTTTCCGTTCCACAAAAACTTAAAGAGCATGTTATTTAATATTTTAAGAAATTCTTGGGAGGGATCCGGCAATGATAACAACAAATAGGTATCCTTCGCCTTTTTTACAAACATAAGGAAGAAAATGTAATTATGATACTCCTCCCGTAAAGTGCATTCAGATATATAGCGGGACACTACATCCGAATTAGTTTCCTGGTAGACAGAATATATGTTTTGGTCACTATTTTCAAGACATGCAAGGGACCCGTAGAGATCCATGTTAGACTAGGTCTTCAGCAACCCATGCCTGCAGTAAGAGGCGACTATGCTTGTCGTAAGATGCGACTAACGGGACTTGGTGCATGTCATCGTATCCCGATTGCCTAGATCGATGCTCATGATGTCAATCACTGGATTGTCTGGTCAAGGCTCGATTATTTACAGACCGCCGTCGTATAGCTGTAATATTGCGTAGTGCGGCGTTAAACAACAAACAAACAAGACATACAAGCTTGTTTTTCTCCGAAAGGAGCCAAACATTTTGAAAAAATCACAACACTTTTTTTTTCTAAACATCCAGGATGTCCACCGAAAAACATATTTTCTAAAACCTTTATAAACCCTGACGCAAGAATATATTTTCAACTATCTACTGGGACAAATGATTTTTCTTAACAAATTCCCATGCTCACGTCCTCAGACTATCAAAAAACGTCGGTCCCTTGGTCGTTCTGTGTATATTCTATACAACCCATGTACACTGGTGTCTCTGTGCAGCAAGACCAGCTATGGGCACATGTCCCGGTGGATGGACGTGACGGAGGGTCCCTACTTGCCCCCAACTATCTCCGTCAACCACTACGCTACCGCCAACATGTCCCCAGCATTCGGCAAGAAGAGGAAACCTTGGAGTAAAGCCCCACCCAAGGAGCGACCCCCGGGGCCTGTTGTGGCTCTCTCACAGCCTGATATGGCGAAAGAGGCAGCGGTGAGTTCTGAACATCGAGCGTTTCAGTGTCTTAGACCATGGACCCCTCGGCACTCGATAATTATTCTGAGGTGATCAATAAGATGTCTTAAAACTCCAAGATTTGATGCAGAATGCAATCATTGTGCATCGGTTGTCGAATTGTCGAACGCTGAGATCACGTTATCGGTGCCCATATTTCTACGTCCATAGTACAATGGGCCATTTCCGGTAACAGTAAGCTGTGTAGTGCTTAACACAACTTCTGTAATATTGATATGTTAAGTTCAACCTATTCCTTCCAGGTTGACGGCAGCGTGCCCGTCCACCTCCGCTACAGCCAAAACAACGGCTACGACGACTACCACCGTGCCTTCAGAGCCATCAGCAACCAATGGCCGTCAGCTAGTTACCCCACATTTGGACCACCTAGGTAGTGTTGCCCAGAGTCTCTCAAACTCACCCTGGAACAAAACTTTCGGAAATCTTGTCTGGTTTAGAATTCTGAGTTTTCTGAAAATGAAGATTTCTCGGGGCTCCTTTTTATTATATTCCAAAAGACAATTTAATAAAAGAAGATCTGAAAATATTTTCAATTCAAAACTTAAACGTTAATCTGGACGATACCAGTAGCCGGAGGACAATACTCAGTGATTCTGGAATGAACAATTTGATACCCACATTGACTGTTACTTGTCATGTATTGCACGTGCATGGGCTATATCACTGGTTGCGTTTAGGCGTGCGTTTTGGGTAGCTTTTTTCCGTCACCTTCAACCTTGCACGTTTCAATGTTTTTAATAGTGGTTGGCCATATTTCCAGTTTCACAAAGCATCCAATCAGTATGATATAGGCATAAACAACATACTCAGACATACTCAACATACTCAGACCTATTGACGCTTGTTGGCATATGTTCATGTATATAAACAAGTGGGAATGTCATTATAAGTGAATGCTTTATGATGTTTGTTCCTTGATGTTTCTAAACATATACGTGTTTAAACCTTATTCTGACCATGAGTATTTCCTAGCTTAATTTATCATCAAATACAGAGCCCTTTTGACCCAAACCATCGTCGTACTACATTTGTAAATCTATGATAAAGTTGGTCGATATCTATGTTTTAAGCGTTCTCGTATAATGCTGACGACCCTGGTTAGGTTAGGATCATGAATTGTTGGGATATGGCTGGAACGGTCTTAACATCTGAGACATGCTTCAAGCGGACACGCCGTGATATAGTTGAAGTACTATTTAAAGCGGCGTAAAATCAAACTCACTCATCGTCATGTTAGTTTGATGATAATGATGATGATATTGGAGATTTAACGAGCGCTTCCGGATGATGATGATGATGATGATGATGATGATGATGATGTTGGAGATTTAACGAGCGCTTCCGGATGATGATGATGATGATGATGATGATGATTCAGGAGGACCCGATTTCGCACACGGATGCTAATTGGTTTCATTTCAGACTGCGCCACGGGCGTCAAGGGGGCAGCTGGCGTCACGTGACGGAGGTGATGCAGGCAGGGGGTAGCAGGACCATGTTCGTGGACGGCCGGACGACGTTGAACGACCGCTACCAGATGGAGGAGACCCCAGGGGCAGAGCTGATCCTGGGGAGGGAGGGGGACCCACCCATAAACTTCGACTCAGAGGAGGTCAAAAGGACGGCGTGGATAGCGAACTACAGGAGAGAGAAAGACATGGAACCCAAAATAAAAAGTACGGATTTCTGAAATTTCTTTTTTGGATTGAAATCAAAATAGAAGTCATGTATCCACAAACATAAATATGCGTGTATGTGGTCTTGTAATAATGTTCTGCAGGCCAGAAGCGATGTGGTAGCCTTGAGGTTTGGTCGTACATTTGGTTGACATCCCACATAACTACATGACATTGTAGAATGAATCCAAAAGCGGCTTTAACCATATCCTCGGTACCGCTTCTCCATTTTATTATCATGATAAATACACTGAACCCTTAAGCCACCAAGGCTTCGTTTCGGAAACATCGTCACCATCACAATCTCTCCGATCAAAGAGGCAGCATTCAGTTTCTCTGGCTGATGTCTGTAACTTGACTGAATGGCTATTTTGAATAATTTCATTTGAATCGGACTTGAAACGAGGTTATTGTAGCGAGTGGGCCTACATTCTCGAACATCGATCCAGTGTACGTTAATACAATACACTGGGTAAGGGCGTATTTATTTTTTGGTTTTGTTTCTCATCTCCAAGTTTTCCCAGAGGGGGAGGGCGGGTTGACAAAAAAAAGGGGGCAAAAAAGGTTCATTATTTCAGAATACCAATTCAAGGCTTTGACAATCTATACCAAATATGTGAAAATGTAAACACTTTGTGGAGAAGGATCTGAGGGTGTCCTTTTGTCTCTTTTATCTCGACAATTCACTTGAAGAACGCATACTGGCATTTATATACACGACTGTTTTAAACACGTTTTAATTGCATCTTCCCCCGAGGCAAGGGAGTTAACTAACTTTAAGAGTCCAGTTTCCACCTTTATAGTCAGTTAACTCTCTTGCCTCGGGGGGCGGTCGGGTAGCCTAGGCCTAGTGGTTAAAGCGTTCGCTCGTCACGCCGAAGACACGGGTTCGATTCCAGACATGGGTACAATGTGCGAAGCCCATTTCTGGTGTCCCCCGCCGTGATATTGCTGGAATATTGCTAAAAGCGGCGTAAAACCATACTCACTCACTCACTCTTGCCTCGGGAAGATGTAGCGGGGGATGATGGTTTGGGGGCATCTATAATAATTTAATGGAGACATACTGTATGGGTTTTTTTATTGAAGATTTCAAGAACTTTAAATGAATCTATTTGTATAATGGTGTCTCAGGTCAACAATGGCCGAATGTTTTTTTAAAATTTTTTATTGTGCATATCGTGTCTATTTTATTGATGAATCATGTGACGCCTATAATCAAACTCAATTTTCAGTAAATTATAACACTGGATAATCGAGGGTGTATAACCACACACTGGAGCTCACCACGGCTGATTCTTGTGTTTCAGTGATGCTTTACGGGAGTGTTGACAAACAGAAAGGCGTGGAGAAGAACAACTGGATGATCATGAGATAGTGCTAGTAAAGTTTTTCTGTCGTCGTAAAAGTCCCACAGTCAGTATTATATGCCCACGTGGCATACCATATCCCCCATGTGCAAGTCATCTGTGTTTCCTGTTCCCATGACTCCAGTCTGTTACTGATGTGTTATAACTAATCCTTCCTTGTCAGTGATGCGACCATCACATTCCCTCAACGCAACAACGTGTTTAAACTGCACAACAAGCACATCTTCACGAGGCAAGGGCGTTAACTGACCATCTGCATGTTGAATTCCATTTTGTTTACCAATCGGTTGTTTAGTTCGTTACACGATTTTGATTGGACTATGCATAGACTCGTTCGTCCAGCCAATATGTAACTCCGGAATTCCAGCCTAGTTCGGCAAGGGTGGAAACTAGACTTATAAAAGTCAGTTAACGCCCTTGCATCGGGAAGATGAACAAGCATGACTCAATACATGACTTTTAAACAATATTAATGTGAGGAAGTGTGTTCTACTTGTGTTCTACGGAAAAATCATATACAAGTGTTAATCATTTGTGAAAGAACATTTCTTGCATAATAGGACAAATGTGTGTTCAATTAACTTTTCTTACTTTTAACTTCCCACACCAAGGTTCGTGACTCTTCATAGCTCTCAAGGCTATTTTCCAAGTCTGATATGAATTATCATTTGTATCCAACCGTGATGATTATAGTAAAGTAATTGCTTACATGTATAAGGAATCAAAGACTAATAGTTTATACAGAATATATACTGATATGGCCTGTGTGTACATAATGAATGTCTGTGATAGTATTAATGCTCAATAGACTCAGATTCTGAGGAATCTAGTCACTTTCATCCAACAGTATTACCAAGCTATTCCATCTCACTCTAATGTAAATATGTTATTTTTTATATTTATTTGTGAGTGTGGTGTATGATTATAAATGTATTGTTAATGTGTCATAAATAAACACTTTTTCTTACCCACTTTCTTTCATCATATTTCACCACTTTTCTTCCTCACACTTCAATGTAATAGTTCAAGAATACGAACAACTGTTCAGAAAAAGACCACAAGACAGAACACTGGTAACATATTTAATACTATCAAACAAGCTGCTTTGTTAGAAAAGGGGTGTAAATTGTAACAAAATACCATCAGATTTGCTGCTACTGTATGACAGGAATACAGCACTATAAGGCTAGCATGAAGCTACTTGCAGGAAAATCTATGTACTACAGTTAAACCTCATCAACTCAAAAACTTGAAGGGAACAACCATTAAATATTCTGGTCATACATTCAATTTTTGTGTCCAAAGGTAGGAGTGTGTGAGTTTGGTTTTATGCCGCTTTTAGCAATATTCCAGCAATATCACTGCTGGGGGAGACCAGAAATGTGCTTCACACATTGTACCCATGTCGGTGAATCGAACCTGGGTCCTCAGCGTGACAAGCAACCGCTTTAACCACTAGGCTACCCGACCGCCCCCTTAGGTAGGAGCTAAGCAACCATGTTATTTTTACAACACACTTTTTTCAGGTCATTTGCATGTTCAGTGAATGATTGTTTTTTGTGTGTTGATTAATGTATGTACAGAATATGAAATGGATGGTCCCTTATTCAAGACAAACTGGCTGCTGCTAGACCATAGCACACAGCAAGGACCTATCTGGTATAACAATATGTTTGTTTGTTTGTTGTTTAATGCCGCACTCAGCAATATTCCAGCTATAAGACGGTGGTCTGTAAGGAATCGAGTCTGGACCAGACAATCCAGTTATTGACAAAATAAGCATCGATCAACGCAATTGGGATCAATGACATGCATCAACCAAGTCAGGGAGCCTGACCTACCAATATAACCATAGGTGGCTATGTGGATTCAGTTGCTATACAAGGCTCACATGCTATTGCGGCATATTTGATCAATATGTAAAGATGATCAGTTTTCAAAATACATCTAGGTTGAATAAGGCCATAACGAATATGTCCTGTTTGTCATTATGTTTTTGGGGGAAAGAAAAGGAAACTGTTTGTTTTCCACTTTGAAACAGCATTAACTCACACTAGTGTTCACTGTTATGCACTGTTAAAACATTATGAATAAATTCTGACATAAATCAATGCACATTAGACATGTATTTTACATGATAACCCAATATCTCCTAAGCATTGGGAAGTGATGGTTTCTTTGTTTGTTGTTTAACGCCACACTCAGCAATATTCCAGCTAAATGACGGCGGGCTATAAATAATCGAGTCTGGGCCATAAAATCCAGTGATTGACATCATGCACATCGATCCACGCAATTAGGATCGATGACATGCATCAACCAAGTCAGCGAGCCTGACCACCTGATCCCGTAAGTCGCCTCTAAGGACAAGCAGAGTCGCCTTTTACAGCAAGCATGGGTTGGTTGATGTGATGGGAAACAGTCTTTCACTTGAAAACTGGACTTATTAAAGTACCAAAATTGATCAAATCAATCAAACTGTACATATTTGATTGTAAGCAAGTAATCTGCTTTATAAAAATAAATGTAACTGCAGCAATAGCAGCTGAAACCACCTTTTAAATTCCTATAGGGGAGAGGGTATCAAAATTTGTTAATTCTAAAGTATTACTAACAATATTATTTTACAATCTATCTCAAAAAGGGTGTGGAATACACTCTACTATATCGTCCCTGATGGAGGGTTGTGGCAGTGACATACAACAGCAGTGATGGAGATCTCCCATCAAACACCCCATCCCTGACACATGATGATTCTTTCAAATAGTCACATAAAAAAACAAAAATACATCACCATCATTGCATACAAGCATTCTAAAAGTCTGAACTATAAAGTAATATTTGGGTGTAATTTTGCATTTGTTGGAAAAGTAAGTCTAATGGATGAAACATTAGCAAACTAGGGTAGTGTCCCTTCAATAATCACTAAATGCTGCAGTACCTGGGTGTAACAGCAACTGATGGTCAGGGATAGGATGCATAAATGAAATCAACAAATGTGTCCTGGGAAAATATTTTGTACAATGACACTCTTACATAAGAATTTGTCAATGTCTCAGGATTAAGAAGTCAAGAATTTGTATTAATGATTAAGGTGCATTCACACTGAATACAAAATCATATTTGCAAGATTAAATTCTTTTTTATTTCAATCATATTCTCCATTGAAAAATATGAGATTTATGACACTGAACGGTACCCAGGTATTAGGTGATTAACCCAAGGGTGATACTGAAACATCTCTAGCTTCAGAAACATGAAACACATAAAACTGTAACCATGGTAACAAAGATCAATAATGTGCTGCAACAAACGAGGATGGTTATGTTGGCATCACACTACTTAGATTATTTCTAAGTCAGAGCATCCATTAAATCCTTCCCACTGCATCTTGAATGAACTTCTTTATGCAGGGATGACAATCTCACTGTTATCCCATTATACAATGGGCCACAAAACATATCAAATGACTGACATCAACGAATCTTTGTCAATCCATGTCTTGACAATATTTCTATCACTTATACATTTTAGATGGAATAGTGTATTTTTTACTTTATGTAAATGTCATTTTCAAACTAAAGGATGTGAGATCATGTACAAAGAGGAGGATGAAAAACATGATAAAAACATATTACAAATATATACAGAGTTTACGCTCAGATGTGCTGGTGAAATGAACACTGATATGTTGAATGATGGGAATGGATGACAAACTAAACACGATATGCACAATGTACAGTCAGAGAAGAGGTGAAATGCATAACCCAGAAACCTGTTGTACTAATACATCTACCAGTTCCTGTTAACACCTCTATAGTTTTCAGACTTAAAAGTCTGACAGTTGTTGGGGGAGTAAGGTTTTTAAGTAGCGTTTATCATTATTTCAGCAACATCATGGCGAGGAACATGTGAAATGGGCTTCACATATTGTACCAATGTGTCAATGAAACCCAGGCCTCCAGAGTGACAAGGGAATACTATTAGGTTACACCACTGTCCCTAATCACTGCTTAACTGTCTTCACAGCAACATGTGAAGCCCTGCTAATCTCAGCGATACCATTCCCAAACAACCTACAGTGCTTGAAGTTATGAACTTTGAGATTCAATCATCTGAACAGCAGGGTTTGTGCACAAATATGAATAAATCTCAATAAAGATCACAATTCACATTTCATTGTCTCAAAATATATTTGATTAAGCGTGGTGATCAGCTTATCTGCTAAACTCATATAGATCATTTAACAATGTAATAAGAATATATAAACTCTTTCGAATACAATTTGAAATGATTTTGTATTTGACGAATATTACAGTCTAGAAAAACATTGTGAAAATTTTCAATTTAATTTGAATTTAGCAAAACATACATTTAAATGTATTTGAAATCTGATTGAAGGAGATATTAACAAAAGACAATAATTGCATCATGGATTTTGATTATGTCATAAGAATATTATGTAATAAAATCACAACTCAGAATGAAACCTTAAAATACCACAACCAAGAAACTGCAAAAATAAACAGAATAATGTATTTTGATATAAAAAAACAGATAACAGCATATAAACTCAAAATGATAATTCTACACAGAATGTACCAATATTCTTTTTAAACAAAACATTCAGTTGCTAGTACCCATTCAGAAAGAAAGTCAAAATTCACTTCAATGAGACAAGCAGAACATTGTTTAATATACCATCACAAAATGGTACCATATTGCATCCATATACAACTAGCTTACACAAAATGATATGCAAAAAAGACAGACTCATAAATGGTCCCTGTGTCTTGAGATATGCAAAGACAACATATTAGACAAAAAACATTCTAAGTTTGGTTTGGAAATAAATCACAAACACATGGGTAACTCAGGGAGAGCAGTTCACTGCTATTGGCTCTCATTGTGATCTGCAGTCTTGGAGATAGGTGAGGTGAAATGGGGTTTAACGTCGCATCCAAGATTATTGCACTTATATAGCGACGTGCATGTACGTGTGTGTGTTAGTGTGGCTGCTTGTACTAGTCCGGACTGATGCTGATTTATAGTGCTAGCTCACTGAGATACCATGTCGCAGTTTAACATGAATACCCCACTCAGACACAGTATACTGACTCCGAGCCGACCAGTCCTTGTTTTAGCCCCTTAATGCCGAGCGCCAGACAGGGTAACAACAAGTGCCATCTTTTAACGTCTTTTGGTATGACGCGGTCGGGGATCGAACCCCGGACCTTCCGCTTTCCGGGCGGACGCTCTACCACTAGACCACGGAGGGGGTCTCTCGGAGATAGAGATGAAACTTGAAGTCAAGAGATGGAAAGTGGGAACATCAATCCACTACAAAAGGGAATGATTTCACAGCAAATCAGCAAGTTTGGAGTTCCATGTTCTATGCACTGACCACTTTTCCCAAAGCGGCAACAAATAAAACCAAAGTAACTGATGGCACTTACTTGATATATCCATCTGTACATTATTAGTGTGTTCAGTTGGGCTTAATGCTGCTTTGAACAGTATTTCAGTTATATCATGGTGTGTGAGGTTAATGTGGAGGAAAGCCCAAAGTGGTGCAGGTCTTTGATGTTTACCACTTTGGTGAAACCCACTAGCATGGGGATTGTGTTGTCAAACCTAGAAACATAATCAGGGCGAACAGGGATTCGAGCCCACAAACTGAGGTTTCTGATGTGTTGAAGGGATGCAACTCTGCACAGCGAATTGCGGGGCCTTAGACGCCTGGGACACCCGTGTCCCCCACCTATATATTTACCAAGAGAGTGAGTGAGTGTGTCAACTGCGTTAGGTTTGGCACTGTTTGAATAATATTTCTGTTTAAATTGGCATTACAGCTGAAAACTGTAAGAATCTACAGCGAAACGTCACTTGCGCCAATAAACCAGAAGTTGTTATCCACAAAGTTTTATGTTTTCTTATTAACAGTATCTCCGTCAGATCATGGCTTTTCAACTAAATGGGAGAAAGCCCAAAGTGACAGAAGTCATTGACATTTACCAGTTGTAAATTTCATGAGCACAGGAATACACTTCACATATAGCTCCCCTTTGACCATTCACATGTGAGGGGGTGGCCGACTCGGGATTACATTCCTTGGAACATGTCATGCCTGTCACCTCATGTGGGAGGAAAGACCAAAGTGAATAAGGTTATTGACGTTTACCACTTTGGTCAAGTCAGATCAGCATGTGTGGGGTGCTGACAGTGTCAGACTGAGGATCTTAATCAAGGTTAATCTTCACCAGCAGAGCCTAGCACTGCAAAGGGAGGCAACCTTGCACAGAGAACCAACAGCACCCCCAAACCCTAATACATGTATCTGCAGATGTAGGTTGATAATAATTATATATGACAGCTGTTCATAGCTGTTAAATCATACGCACCACAGTCAAACACATTCTTTGATACATAAAACACAGTTTATATCAGTTTTGACATAGGCACCACAACACAAAATACTTGATATGTAACATACATAACAAACTCAATTCACACACAAACTGTGTCAGCTTGTCAATAGCAAATCACTGTCAATTAACTGCCTGTGTCAATACTATAGTTGTAAATATTCAATGGATGAGATCGCATGACAAAATAGTTTCATAGGCACTATTAAAACATTCTATTTACAATTCACAATTTCTAAAACAAGAGAGTTGTCCAAATATTGTAAAACAGGGATGTTAGTGCATGCTGCCTGTATAAGGATAGAAGTGGTTCATGGCAGCTACCCTATAGTCACACATATTCCCGAGGCAAGGGCGTTAACTGACTATAAAACTCCAGTTTCCACCCTTGCCGAACTAGGCTGGATTTCTGGAGTTACATTTTCGCTGGACTAATAAGTCTATGCAGAGTCCAATCAAAATTGCTAAACGAACTAAAAATCTGGTTCATAAACAACTTTGATTTCAATGTCCAGATTTTGGTCAACTGCAGGATTTGCAAAGCATGTGTTATGTCAAATGGGCGTCGACAGACATTTTGCAAATCTTTTGATGTTTTTAATAAAGGTGATTTGATGCACTTTGCGGAATATTTTGTTTGAAGCAAATGCAAGTGATGTGTGACATGGAATCTGATTGGTCAATAGGAGGGACATATAACTAGCAATAGCCACTGGTGGCGCTACGATTGAGCCTGGAAATTCCAGTCTAGTTCGACAAGGGTGGAAACTGGACTTTCAGAGTCAGTTAACGCCCTTGCCTCGGGTAGATGATAGTTGCTTATACACGAGTCAGTTATGGAATGGTGAGGACATGGAAAGGTTGTGAAGCATACCTGATATAATCCTGAATTGGCCTCACAGAGCTTATCAGTGTGGCAAAGTCATCAAACAATTAAAAGATATTTTGATCCACTTTGTTATATCTGTTCACGTTGTAATACCCTCCAAAAAATTAGCACCAAGCTCCGTAATCACATATAAAGATTGTAAATAATTACAGTTCCTGAAATAAACTTTCAGGCCTTCAATTTAGAGTAAATAATAAACAAAATCCTTATATATACTGTTAAAGATAAATGAAAGTTAACTTTGTCCAAGAATGCATAATTGTACAAATTTTTTCAAATCGGCCATTTGTGTCAATATAAACATAATGCATCAGTCTTCACAACAGCATCAACATCTTCATGAATGTTTGTACTGTCATGTGTTAGGCTCTGTATCCATGTGATAATGAATAAATTTCAAACGATAATGTTGAAATCTGTTATCGTTTTTTCAAATGTTCACTGTGCCCAGGGGAGATAACCTATGATTCATCCTCCATATCTTTAGCTGTGGAATTGGCCTTATGGAAGAGTTTCATCCTGAGGGAGTCTATGTTATCTGAGGACATGAGCTGTAGAGAGGCTGGAGAGCTGTGGGTGCTGCTAGCTGAACGCTTGGATGCTGTGGTTCGGACGGATTCAACGCTTGCTGCTTTCCTCACTCCACAGCCATTGCTGAAACAATTTGTTGGCATTGGTAATAAAACAAAAGAAGCTACAAGGCTCTTTAGATCACTTGAATCTTTCGGGGATATTTACAACATTAGATTACTAACATGATTAAGGGTTAACAAGTATAAACAACAAAAATGACAGTAGAAAAGCATGTAAATTACATTATTGGCTGAGAAGGGGATCAAAGTCTCATTTTCATCAAGGTTGCCAGGGCATACCACAGTATATAAAGTCTGGTGGTCAAAGTTTCATCAAAATATCCAACAATGATTTTCACATTTCAAATCTCACAATGATACATTTTCTAGTGAAGCATTTAAATAGTCATGGATACAAATCCATGTGTAAAAAAGCTAAAGATTGGGGTATGATCAAGACCCTTTTTAAAGGCTGTCCATTGACCAATTTCAATGTTGCGAAAATGTCACACAAATTGTGATAAAGGATGTCAGAAAATATAACAGAATTTTACCATACGTTGTTATTGTATTTACATACATTTGCATATATCAAATGCTCTCCAAAAATATCTTACTGTCCAAAACAGTGTTGAAATACGGCAATTCAATGCCCTCGTCACACACCTTTTCTTTGAAATTCTTTATTAACTAACTAAATGTATGTAGTTTTGAGTCTAATAACTAAAATACATACCTGACCACTGGAGTAATACCAAGGCTTCTGTAGAAGTCTGTTGTGGACGGAGTTTTGGCCTTACCCCCCGGGGCAGGGGAGAAGAAGGGCGTGGCAGGAAGAAGGCGGGCACCCTCTGGGAGAAGAAAGACACTGTATAATACTATTTCAAAATCACAGCATAATAATGTTGAGTATATGAACACTCACTGGAGCTGCAGGAAATACTAGTGATGTAGGATTAAGATGTAACAAGTGCACTGACCATGCTGACTTGAGGTTAAATATTTTAGTATTTCAGTAACATCCTGTTGTGTCCTGAAGTTTAGAGGAAAGCTCCATGTGTTGCAATCCTGATGTTTACCACTTTGTGCATATGAGAGATTCAACCCAGTAATCAATAGATTCTTAGTTAAGGGACACATCTCTGGGGTGTTGCACCTTTCGAGTTCCAACAACAGTATGATGATATTACACAGCTCCTAGATGACTCATTCATGTAGTGACACACCTACCTTTCTTTGGCATAGGACTTGTTGCCTCTTTGAATGGAGTAAGGTTGAAAAACTGTTTCAAAAGCAAATTGGACCTTTCATTCTGGATTGCTTGTCTCTGTAAAAACATGCAAAATAAGAAACAAGTGTGAAAAATGACTTCATTTAGTCCATGGTGAGTGATATATGCAACAGGGTGTAATATAATGTACATTAATTAGAACATTTATTATATTAATATACTTATCCTGATAAAAATATTGAAAATTACCTCTCTTCGATCCTATAACACAGAACCCCAAATGTGCCTCTCTGCCAGAGTGAGGTACTATCCACCAGATCACTGCTGAGAGTTACCTCCCCTTGAGCAAATACTTCCCTAAAGTTCCCTACAGTAATATCTATTTCACACTGAGGGCACAGTAAATGCATTACACAAGCATTCACCAATGTTTATATAGTTTCAAGTCCAGGAGACCCTCAGTAACAAACTTTGGAGGCCCAAGGCATGAACAAGTCCCTCGCTATGAAGACCTGGGCCCACTTGCACAAAGCGATCTTTTCGCTAAGATGATCCTAACTCCCATACTTTAACATAGGCTTACAATAGTTGTAGCGCTAAGATCACTTTGTGCAAGTGGGCCCAGATCTCCTACCTCCCTGCCCAGTTTGATGGCTGCCTCTGTAAACTTGCGTCTCTCCTCCTCGAAGTTGGCCTTCTCCTGGTAGAAGAATTTCTTCTGTTCTGACAGACATTCCTTCTCATCCAGGAGCTGAGTTTCATGCAGGAATGTACTCTGTACTGACTTGGTCTGGGACTGGATGGATTGCTGGGGACAATACAGGAATTAACTTCACCAAAGTTCATTAGTTCCATCCAATAATAATTCAAAGTATGGGTTCATATCTAGGGAGACAAAGTTAAGTTGCAAGACCAAAAACTAATCCCATAACAATAATCCAACAATTTTAGAAAAGGAAAAAACCTTCATGTGCATTCTATATATTGACACAAAAATCTTTTCTGGTGTTATATGCTTGAAATAGGACCTTTTCATTGAAGTCTTATAGGGGGAGTGAGTGAGTATGGTTTTACGCCGCTTTTAGCAATATTCCAGCAATATCACGGCGGGGGACACCAGAAATGGGCTTCACACATTGTACCCATGTCGGGAATTGAACCCGGGTTATCGGCGTGACGAGCGAACACTTTAACCACTAGGCTACCCGACCGCCCCTGAAGTCTCATAGATGTTAAATTCACTTCTGTGAAACCTTGACTTGCCTGTGAAGGCATCCTAATTATTGCCCAAATTTTCGTTTTCTTAAACAGTCTGTGTGATTCCAGGACAAGCCATGTTTCGGAAAGCCTGTTTGTTTACTGAGGCAGAGGAGCATGGATTATCTCCCCCTCACCTGAATGAGCTCCTCCTGCTGCTTGATGATCTTCTTGTACTTGGTCATCTGACAGTTCAGTCTCTCCAGCTCCTCCCTTGTCCGATCGGTCTCCGCCTTGCTCACCAGGGGGAGTATTCGACTTTTGTTCACTGAAGCTGTTAACATGACACTCCACCTCAGAAATATCCTCTTTATTCAGCCTTCATAACCCAACATTGTAGGCAAAAGCAATTCTGACTTTTTTCTGGTTATCATGGTTATTCAAAAATGCCCCTAGAGTATATTCCCTCCTATTAAATCTACTGTCATGCTTACCTATGGCTTGACAAGTAAACCAGTTTGTTCTCAGGAATTGTGATTGTGAAAAGGGATGCTTCCATGTGTTCTTGTGTGTTAAATGTGCAAAGATAATATTTCTTCTTAAACAGTTTAAACATGTTAAAGTGAGTCACCATATGGCTGAAATATTGTTGATGTGACATTAAATTTTGAAGCACAAATGTTGCTAAAGCCCAACTGCCTAAGGTTAAAGAATTGTAATGTAGCCACATATCTCAATACCTCACAATTTTTGTACCTAAAAAGCAAATAGAGTGAGCAGCATAAGCATGTTATTTCCACCTTTGATTTGTCAATAACATTTGATCAAGTGTGAAACAGTTACAAGTGTGTTGATCCCACTTTGGGGGTTTGATCACACACCAAGGCAGCCAGGACACAGCGAATAGTTTCACCTTCATCCTTGTTACCTAGTTTTAATCCTCACACTGCCCCAGTTAACATGGCATCCACAGATATATAGAATCACCCATATTTCATTGATCTGAGCCTCTTACCTGGAGTAATGTCAGCTGTTTTCTTCATTTTCTTTCTTATTTTCTTGCATACTGTTTTGAATTGTTTCTCAAAGTCTGTTCGGACAATGTCATATGGCATTTGGAAATGACCTGTTTTGTAAAACAAAATGAAAAAAAACCAAATATTTAGAAAAGTACATTTTGCTGACAATCATGATAACAGCAAAACAACATTGAAGTGATGGTTAGGTATGGGAAGTTAGTCAAACAACAGTAATGTCTTGGGGGTCAAATTAATCAATTTTGCAAAACTGTAGCCTATTTCACATTATTATGCATGCATGAACTTAGAAAATTTGTACCTTTTATAATATACTGGGACACCGATGCTATTTCATACAAACATGTTAGTATTGTATTACAATATCAAAATTAACATGGCGGTTATTGACGACATAACATGCACACACCCTCCGACAACTCAAGGTCGTCAACTGTCATGCGTGAAGATACAACAGAGCTGACATCGTCAATTTCCTCCTCTTCCGACGAGGATGACAAGGCATCCTGGGACAACTCCTGGACAATCAAGATAAAGAATAATGTTGCCATTTTGAAAACAGAATTCAACTCACTTGTACCACAGTTATAACAGAGAGAAAAGCCTAAGGACAGAGATTGTAAATACTGTCTATACACAAGGAAGAGAATTTATGGATGTCAACTTCTTTATTATGAGGAAACACTACGTTTCGGAGTATATGCTTACTCCTTCATCAGGTGAATGAATGCTATGAGGCAGAGAGCATATATATGTACATGTAAGGACAACAAAAGTAATAACATAAAGGTGAAACTTAACAAGGGAAGCCAACAGATAATTGCTACTGATAGGTGATTAGCAAAAGACAATGGAAGCCAACACTTTACAGTAATTAGCACTGATGGTTATGGACAACTGGAAGCCAGTCCTATAATTATCATTGATTGGTAATGGGCAATGGACAATAGACATCCATAAATTCTCTTCCTTATGTGTATCACTTCTAAATGCCCTTCAACTACTTGACTGTCTATACAGTGTTCAAAGTTATGGGTGGTCCTGGCATCTGTGATGTCTTCTATAGTATTGGAATCTAGGGACCACTTAAATCTTTAACATTAGGACCCCTTGAAATACATGCTTCATATGAACACTGATGTAGATGTGACTTGTTAGCCATGCTAGACAATCATCTCTGCAATGTTAGTCAACACATATCAAGTAAGAGAAGCGAAAATTTTAATGCCACTCTGAACATTATTTTAATTAAATTATCTCTAGATTACCTCTAATGTGGGGGGATTGCCCAATGTGACCGAGGAGCATTAGTAGGATGCTAACAAGATGATAATCAGGGACTATCTTGGTTTCGACTCAAGACTGGCACCTTAAACAATCAGTGCTACCTTAAAACAACAGAGCTAGGTTCTACTCAGAAATGTATATATTAGCTCCGTCACGAGTACTTGGATAACCAGCTATGGTTTGATTAGAATTCTTAACCAGTTCAAAATTTGCAAACCGGTATTCGTTATCCTTGTTTAATATTATTAATGATCATTTGCAGTTACTTTTATGAAACTATAAGCATTAATATTGTCAAACTCCATAAAAATAGTTATAAAATGATACTGAATCTGCAGTTTGCAACAGACCATCAACGATGTAAAGAACGTAATCTGAAGGCGCAATATCACAATGTTGACCTAACCAGTATTGAATATAAAACAACAAATTTTAACACCAAAGGCATTTCATGCAAGTCCATGAGCTCATTAAGTAAAATCAAGTCTAATTTTCATACCAGGCTTTACAATCAGTCAATCAAATGAGTTAAGTCATGAAAGTGAGGCAGTATTCATTCATTAAATGTTGTACATGTACATTTTTGTATATCATTATTGAAAGACTACCAAATAAGACACACATTTCCTAGAATCTGAATGACAATCATTGTTTCGTTTCCACATATCTTACATATGCATCAATGTGATTCCATGCGAAAGATGAAATAGTGCATTGAATGTCAGTCAGGAATTATTGTGGAATTGTTTTGTTTGTAAGGTTGTACATTGTCATGTAGCTGTTTTTAATATTTTGATATAATGAAAACATTTAATACGAAACAAAATGGCTTCAGTAAGACATGTAACCAGTTCTAGATTTTTATACAGAATTAAGTAATTACTCTTTTCGCAAGTGAGTATGATTTTACACTACTTTTAGCAATATTGTTGCCATATCAGTAAGAACTGGCATGATCATGATGACCATCAAACCCCAGGTCTTTGGCATGGCAAGCCAATGCTTTAACCCCCAGGACAACACACCACCCCCAGAGTGTAATCAAGTTAACATACAGCTTCAGGTGGAGGGATGGGCTGAGAGTTGGAAGTTCTGTCAAGGACTGAAGCAAGTTCTCGATGCATGTGCATCACACACTGGCGGAGATCATTGTTCTCAACCATCAACTCCTTCTGCTTGCCCTCATAATTGTCAATAACCAGCTGGTACATCTCTTCCTCCTTTCTGGAACACAGAGGACAGGTGTCAATATTGCAGACACATTACATGTTCAGGGCAATAGCCATTCAGGGCAATGGCAGGTCTGCTGCTGATAGATGTTCACAAGAAACAAGTTTGGTTGGTTTGTTGTTTAACGCCGCAATCAGCAATATTCCAGCAATATGATGGCGGTCTGTAAATCATGAAGTCTGGACCAGACAATCCAGTGATTGATATCATGAGCATCGATCCACGCAATTGAGATCGATGACATGCATCAACCAAGTCAGTGAGCTTGACCAACCGATCCCATTAGTTACCTCTTACGACAAGCAAAGTCGCCATTTATGGCAAACATGGGTGCTGAAGACCTATTCTACACCGGATCTTCACAGATACAAGAAACAATATTAAGATGGCTGGGTTCTAGATGAGCTTCAAACCTTGTAAATGATTGATTCATGCTGGGCCTTCTGTGTTTGACCTATGAAAACTACTGCCAACCACACATCAATCATGATTTATCACCATGAGAACATAAACTCTCTGTGAACAGAAGCTCAACAAGGACATATATGTGTCATTGCTGACAATATCATCTTATGGTTCTCCATTTTGTAGTCCTTGTGGTCGGTCAATTAAGGTAACTAATGCAAAAGGCATCAGAAAAGGTTTTGGATCATAATTGCAGAAGTTGATATCTGTAATAAGCAATGGTGGCCATGGTAACAATAGCAATGTCTTCATGGACACTGTTATCTGTTCATGGACATTGCAGAAGTGAAAAAGAGAAGATATAATCCATATCATCTCTTCTTATTGGGTAATATTCATGATATTACCCATGCTGGAGATTCCTGTATATATAATGGAACTGTGACTGCAAGTTCCAGGGCTGAATGTTACAATTAATGAGACAACCAATGTGTAACCAAAATGCTTATTGACCAATACATTACACTGTCAACTGACAGCAGTGTCTGAAATTGCCATCTGCTCACAAGCAGAATTTCGGTCTGGCTAAAGATTCTGAAAAGTCCCTAGCCTGACAGGCTACTGAAATTTTTTATGATAATTTATTTATGTACATCTCTTAGTTGAACTATAAAACTATAAAAATGTTTTCCCGTTTCTGTAGATAATATAACCATCAAAAATCAAATTAATATCCATACCGAATTGAGGTTGGTAGAACAGAGTTACCCCCCTTCATACTATTTGACTCATGATTTGCCATCTGGGATTACTTTATTTATATCTTCACAGAATCAATGTTCTGGAAAAATATTAAAGCTAATAGAATTTGAAACGGACTAGTAACTTTCAAGGCTAGCTATCCCAAATGGCCAGCAATATTTGAAACTATTTCAAACATTGACTGATAGGGCTGGGACGGGTAACTTGGGTACTCGAGTCGGGTGGGTCCTGAGTAGGTACCCACATGACTACCCGGACCCGTGGTTAGTCACATTACATACTCTTTAAAGACATTTACAATAAAACTCAATGGTTACACTAAAAGTATAGCTAATGTTCACATCTCTTTCTCACTATGCAGGCATTCATTCTGACATTTATATGTTCGAGTAAGGATAAAGCGTCTTTCACCTGCAGTGTATTCATGATCTGATCATTTTATATGGGGATCTAAATAATTTTTGCCAGGGCAAAACAATTCCCATTCAGACATTTTGTACCAATCTCTTGAGACCTATAGCAGGTGTCCGGGTAGGGTCGGGGGATAGGGTGTCGGGTACCCGGGTAGTAAATTTGGACTTGTCCCAGCCCTACTGACTGACAGACAAACAAGATCCTCCACTCACTTGTGTCCTGAGTTCTGCCACGTGGCTCTCTGACCGTCTGCTCTCTGAAGCACATTCATCATACTCATACCTGGAAAAAAGATGACATATGGCTGAAAATATAGACAGAGGCTGAATGGATGGAAACACAGGCTGAAAAGAGAGAGGCACAACGGACGGAGAGAAGGAAAAGGACACAGGCTTCAGGAAAGGAGCCGGTTTAATGATTTGAAGTCTTTGTGACAGCTGAAGTATGCATATTTCTCACTTCCGCTGTAAATGAAATAATAGCTGTGTATGTGATGGCAATCTGCTTCGAGACTGTCGGATCTGATGGCTGTCAACAGGGGAGGTGCCTTGAGGGTGTGAGGAGTCAATGTCAATCCTGGTGTCGCTCCCTTGGAAGTGTATATCGGTAATATTCAGACATAGAGATATGGCAGGCATTGATGACGATCTGTGTTATGGCCAGGAGATGCATATGGGTAGAACCACGTGTGCCGATATAGATCCATAGATGTGAGGTATCAATTCCTATCCCAGCTGTGATGTCGATCCCTGTAGTCGCTGTGAATCCGAATCTGAAGAATCTGACATTTGTCAATGGCCGAATGTTGATGGCCTGAAGATTTGGATTGACCTCGACCTTGAGTGTAGAAGCAATCCGAAGATTCTTTGGTGTGACTGTATTCAGTGACGGCTCAGCAGCCTTTTCATCCACTTGAACATTCCGTGGGGGAGTGGGGGGATGGCAGGTGACCCATGGCTGAGGGTCGGGGTACGCGGGAAGGGTTGTCGGCAGCAATTGTCGTAACTGACACTCAGGTATATAATTTTGAAAAGCTTCCTCTGATAGATGGGAACACTGAGCGCAACAGTGATCAGCCTTGCATAGACCATGGCAATCACAACATAAGGTATGCAGATTGTATGATGGAAAGGTATGACTACATTCTTTACAAGCTGGGCGTTTCCCTTTTCTCATTCCCATATTCTGCCATAGAAGAGATGTAGTTGTTGGAGGAAGATCTCACCCAAAACAACAAAATTTAATTCTCTATGTTCAAACATGTCTCCACACTGTGTCAATGAGAAAGAGAATGGTGTGGTGGGTCAAGTCAGGTGATCAGGTCGTGTAAGGTCGCTATGCACGGGATAACAATGCATGGCCCATTTGTTATGTGGTGACCATGTTGATGCTGGGATGTGTTCAAGTGAAACATGTTTTTTAAGCTATTCTAGGGCGTTTCCATACTAAGATCAAAAGAAGGAGAAATATCTTAATTAAAAGGCGAACGTTCAACAATTTCTAGACTAACAAGGTGTTGCTGTATACGGTTTTGGAACTGGAGAGAAGTCTGTACACAAGGGCTATAGTATAATGAGCAGAGTATTCAGTACACCCACAATGTTCACCACTAGGTCAAAATGCAGTAGACTCACCTATTTTACGAGCTGGGTTTTTATCTGCTAGAAGTTGATGAAGTCGATCCTTCAGTTTGATGGCTTCCTTCTCATGTTTCTTCATCTCATGCCGAGACTGAACATCTTTCTGCTGTAGCACAGACTGAAGGCGCTTCACCTGTTTAAGTAAGTAAATGTCTAACATCACACTCTGCAATATTCCAGCTAGATAATGACAGCATGTAAAATATCAACTGCAGGTGTAAACTACTTCAGTCTGGGTCAAGCAAATCCACAATTCACATCATCTGTCGTATATACTGAAGTTGTTCAATGACAAATTTGAAAAACATTATGTTCTTAGCATCATCATATGATTTTATTCATATCTAAGCTAGTTGTGCATACTCTGCCATTTCCTTTGAAATCTCTTGGTTCCAGTGAGACTAGGTTCATGATCACTACCTTCATAGTCTGATTTACTACGGTAATCATTTGATTTTAAACAATGTGATTTTCCTGTTTTGGAACTTTCTTCGGTGGCATGTTCAATGTTTGTTGCTACGGAAGTGAAGTTTGAAGGACCGGATTATGACATTTATTCCGCCATCTGTGATTCTTACTTGCAGGAAGGGCCTTTATTACCTATGAGGGCAAACATATGGGGTATCATGTTTATGGCACCTGTGCCTAAATTCCATTATTTAGCTCACTATCGCTCAGGAAATACCGTAATTTGGACACTCTTGTCGTAAACACACTTAGTATGACATCAACACTCAAATAGTATTCTCTATTTATTACCTATAGGGTTAGAGATAACTAAGTTCATAAAAATTTGCATTAGTGCAGTTATCACTTCACGTGCAATGCATTGTTTACGTCATCCGGATGCAAACAAGAAACAAAATCCAAATGATGTCACACTTAAAACAACGAAATAGCGAAAGATTGTTGACATCATTCGACAAGTTTGGTTTTCGAAGATGGCTCTCACTTTGGAAATACTGGACTATGTTGTAAACATAGTATGACATGAACACTCACATAATACCCTCTATGTATTGCCTCATTTCATATTTCAGTGGAAGCCCAAAGTGATCCCTGCCACAGCATCAATAAGGATACCATACCATACCATACTTGTATGAAATATCAAGAACGAGTGGTGTTTCACAATGTTTGAAAATCCCTTTCGTTCTTGTGTGGGTTAACTTTGTAAGACACACCAAATTCCTGCTTCTTACCTCCTCTTTATCTGTTTTGTGTTTGCCAGCGAGTGTTTTGTGTTTGAGAGCCAGCTGCCTGTGTTTCTCCTCCTGCCGAGCCAGGTTCTTCTCCACCCCCTCGCTCTCCCTCTTCAACCTGGCGTTGGTGGATATGTAGTGATCTCGCTCACTGTTACATCTATGTAATCTGAAAAAGACATTAAGATGGACTGCAGTGTAACAACACCTACATGTGTAGAGCAGGGGAACGGTAAATTAATATAAAGTAAATATTTTCACGTTTGTTGTTGGCTGCTTCCCTCATCAATATTCCAGCTATAGGACGGTGTCTGTAAATAATTCAGTATGGACCAGACAATCCAGTGATTGGTATTTTGATTAAAAAAAATTGACGTTGGGTAAAACATGTAAAGTTGCGAGCATAACCACCTGATCCATTAAATTGGCTCCTACGATAAGCATGGGTTTCTGGGGAAACATTATAACCTGGAATCTCCAAGGGGTATATTGTTTTCACATTTGACAAGTAATGTAAACATCTTTAATCTATTAATTTTATTAACATGTTTAATAAAGATCATGGTAAAGAAAGGTACTTTTTAGAGTAAAAATATCATTTAGCCTGCAACCTCGGGGTATCGCGGTACTTGTCGTACGCTGAAAGGAACTAAATGCACTCACTAACCTTTATGTTTATTCGTGTTCTCTGTATCAGATATCATTCATGTTATCAAACAATGCATATTTTACTGATAAAAGTTCATTATTTACATTAGTACCTCCGAGTAAAAGCCGGGCCTCGCGCTCCGTTTGACAAGGGAGAGAACTCCATCGTATCGCGGTACAGAGAAAAGTTGTGTATGGAGGTCCGAATTGGACAAAAAGAGGACATAATTCTACCAACCACTTGGTATGATCATGCCAGACATCAGTGATTTGTCCAGACAAGTGCAAAGAGAGCACAAGTAAAATTCTAAATGTGTTATCAGCAATAGGTATTCAATGCATATTTACCGAAAGGTAAGAGAAAAATATTTTTATAAGTCAACATCAAAATATCAGAAATGATATTTTAAGATTGTTTAAACAAAATTGGATGACAATAATTTGTCACAAAATGGAAAAATGTTAAAAGTCAACAATAAATATAAAAAGCACTCCTAGTATGCCCAAAGTATGTATTTATCTTTTGGTTACTAGTGAAGAACGTATTTCTAAGTTTGGCATTATGGCCCTTATGATCTCCCAATAGATTCTGGGCACAGAGCGGGAAAAAATGTGCGGACTACGTAACTTCTGTTACCTCATTAGTCGCCATGAATATGCAGATGATCTAGTTCAGGTCGACAGAGAAAGTTTACTTGGGGAACTGCGGTTTTTTTTGTTGGCCATTGATAGATGGGGGTAAGGCAATATTACAACAGATGCCAGAAATATGTATCAACGGATTAATAACTCCTTACTTACAGCAGATGGAACACTCCGAGGAAATTGAAATTGTTTACGAAGTGAGCACTTCCTGGTTACTGATTTGCATTAATAGACAGCCGCTAAGAGGCGTGTCCCGCGTGAACTATCGGAAATCACAAATGCCGCGATACGATGAATGCCGTGGTACCATGGGGTCCGAGTATATACTTATCCTGACTCATACTTATTACACATGTGTATAAGTCAGGATAAGATAAAATTATAACTTATCATTTCATGTTCACTGTTGCCTGATTGTGATTAAAACAATTGTAATATTTTTGCAAAAGCAAAAATGTCCTTGAAAATCATCACAAATGGGCGAGTCTGGATGAATCAACACTTTGAATAAACCAGATTCAATTAAAGCTTTGCTGCCTAAACAAACTCCATGACCATATGAGTTACATCAATCATTGTCAGAGGCCTTGTCACATTTCACTACCTATTTTCCAGTTCTTCTTTCAATCTGTTGCTCCTCTGGTATAATCTGAGAATATCATACAATCTGTTCACCAGGGCAACTGTTGACACGGCAACACCGGCCTCTGGCTGGAAGGAAGCAAAACCAATCACCTGGAGTTCCTGAAAATAATGAGAAAACAATAACATAAACAAGATAAAGGCTGTTGCTGTACACTATCATTGTTACTAGTGCTGGGAATCCACCTCCAAATTTGTGATCGATAATCGACAGTCAGTATTGACAAGCTCATGATCATGTCAGGTTGAGCTACCCTAGCACTCTGTATATACATTGATTTACTCTTTAGTAAACTATACAGAATGTCTTCTTTGTCATCATAATTGCTTTTTATCAGTTTGGAGTGAGTGAGTTGGGTTTATCACTGCTTTGAACAGTATTCTAGTTATATCACAGCATGTCAGTTTAATGCGGGAGAAAAGCCTGAGGTGATGTAGGTCTCAGACATCTACTATATTGGTGCAACCCATGAGATCGGGTATGGTGCTGACAAACCAAGAAACATAATGGGGGTGAACCAGGATTCGAACCCATGATCATGGTTTTCTGGCGGCCTAAGGGATGTAACACTGAACAAGGAATTGCAGCGCCTTAGATGACTGGGTCATCAGCATGATCAGTTTGGAAGTAAAGACAGATAATACTTTGATCTATTTATGAGTTACCTTACCATTGCTTACCCACATATTTTCTGTATTCACAACATGTACTTTTGGCTTATTATATTTTTTAGCCAATCAAATATTAATAAATAAAAACATTTTGGAAGTGAGTGGAAGTTCCACCTGAACCCCCCCCTAAAAATATATAGTTGGAAGAAACAGGCTAACTGTAAATATGTATAACTTATGGAGGGGGATACGGGCGGAATTCTTTCCAGAGAATAACATCGTTTCACAGTTTCAAGGGAGGTACTGGTTTCCTTGCTGTTTTCTGCAATACTCTTATTACTTCAGGACCCCTAAAAATACTTAACATGTTTAACACAAGGATTATGACAAGGACCCTCTGACTTTCATCCTCCCGATTTCATATAAAACTTGGTTCCACAGACCAGTTACTGAATGTGATTTCTCTACTGTAATCTGTAGATGGACACTTGGAAAACAATTCATCAACCATACCTGATCAAGGAAGGTGAGACAACTCTGTAAATTATCTGAAGTACAGAATGTGGTTTCTCCATCTGCATGTCCTGGGGTTTGGGGAAACCATATTTGTGATTCATGATTGTCTTTCATTCTAATCTGTGAACTTGACCGAGAGGTATATAATGCAATCAGATCATCCGCCTGCTCCTTTACAGCTGTCCAATCAGCCATATTGCAGAAACTGAAAGCAAAGAATTGGATAAAGCAATCCACATACGCCGATATTGCAGATTTGGGTAATATTTAATTTTTAAAAATTCAAGGCACTTTTCACAGGCTAAAATACAAACAAAACCTAATCATAATTTTAAGCTGTAGACTCAGCATTTGAATAAAATAACCTGGTTTCTTCATACAACACCAGAGTGATACACACACAAATTGAGCGATATGTTGAGAATGGATAAAAACAATTTACACTTTGGAGTCTTAGGGATTCAAACTAAGATCGCTGTTAAAATCATTAAACTAATCAAAATTAGAAATTGCATGTAACATACATCTGACATTCTTGTTCTGTCAGAAATATACTCCAAATGTGAATGGTTTTATTTTCATGAATTTAATATCAACATCCCCATCCATAATAGACTTAAGGCTTCTGGGCAAGTGCAGTGGCCCCCTACCAAATATTATTACTGCGAGTCCTTAGTTGATGAAATACACAAGTTACATAATAGTTCTGCTGACATTTATGCATTATGTGAATCACACATGAATCAACATTATATAATTTGCACAAATGCATGATACAGTTGGTGAAAAATAGATGATTAAAAATAAAAAATGTTTCCCATGATCACTCTATTTCAGTGAATAAATGCATGTTGTCTTATAGTTATACATTGAGCTTCCAGAAACAGTAACAAAACAAGTCTACCTCAGTAATTCATACAGCATTTAACCTGCACACGACCCCCAAGAAACCATCTAAGGTTAGTTACTTATTTCAGAATAAATGGGTAAGAATGCAGCACTCATTGCGATGAACATATGTGCACTGCTCCCTCAACTTGCCAAACTGAAAACAGACTGAACAAGTTCAGCAAGAATAGTAAATTCAGTAGATGACCATTACTGATGACCTATCACAGAAATCTGAAATCTCCAACGTTAGCGTGAACAATCGGGAAAATATTCACTCTCAACAATAAAAGGGAATCTCGTCTGAAGCCGGTTTGCAATTTGGTTAAAAAAATATCATCGAAAAGACGCCTGCCGCTCAGTGTAGAATGGTAAAATATGTCTGCGACTATTTCTTTTCATAACGAGCGCGTTCTAAGAACACCCTAACCATAACATATGTGAAAAGACGGCAGTAAGGCCGTGACATTGTGATTCAGAGAATCGTGAACGCACGTTTAGCACCACTGAAAATCATTCGCGTACCTGTCAACTTGAAATTTATCCATTTGCCTCTCACAGGTAAAGCTATGACGTCACAGAGTTTTGCCTTCGAACTTTTTTCACTGACGATGTATTCTTGGTTAGTCTTGGTCAAATTGCTTAATAAAAATATTAAACGATAATTTTCGACATTTATTTAGAACACTTTCAACAGAAATGTCATACACATGAAAACAACGTACCGTTTCGTATTATTGCGGGAACGTATTTACTTGTACCACGTGATCGATCATGTGACTTGGTATAAATAGTCGTCTCCATGGCTTGACAAGGATCAGCAAGAGCAGGGGTCTGCCAGGGAATCTAACGTGATGTTAGTTGAAATGATTAAAGGGCTTCTCTTTTTATAATAATAATAATAATAATAATAATAATAATAATAGGGCACTTAAGGTCTAATTTTAATCAAAATTAAAAGTAAATGACGCAACCAGTTTCACATTTTATATGTAATATTAATACTCAACACCCTTAATATGTCTTCCTTCGAATCACTTCTTACGATCATTGGTTTGTCAGCAAAAAAACCCCGTGGCTTTCACCAAAGTGGTAAACGTTAAAGTATTGCATCACTTCGGGGTTTACGTTAATGGTTTTTTATAAAAAAAAAATTATGTCAACTTCTTTATTATGAGGAACACAACGTTTGGCATGAAAGTTCTTTATTTGTCCATACGAACTTTTTTTCTTTTCTTTTTTACGTTAATGATAACGCACACGTAACTGGACATTCGTTACAAATAATGTACGAGACGTCGAAGCTAGCAAGTATCATTTGTAACGAATTTCCAGATGCGCGCGCGTTATCTGACTTACAATGCAGCATCGAAGTAAACAAGCTTTGTGTCATCAGAATATAGACCCACCTTTAATGTGAATCAATTAATGAAAATAAATACAACACAAACGTGTTGCACGGAAATGCCCTGCAGTACATGCCAAATACACGAGAATCTTTAACTTCGTGCTTCGATATCCGTGCTGCATTAGCCCCTATATTCGTACTGCACGTGCAACTTGTGCAACTTGTGCGATTTGATCGTTGTAGCCATTACATTCGTAATGCAGGTGCTTAAAATTAATGTATGAGCTTAAAATTTGCATTGCAGAAAGTAGGTAAGAAAACTGTCAGTTCGTTACAGATAATCAACAGTTGTGTCTTAATTAGGTGAGGTGAGGTGAAATTGGGTTTAATTAGGAGATAAACCTACTGTCTTTTGAAATTTGATGTAGTCCCACTGTAGAATAGATACCTCTTTATTATAATTTTGAGCCGAGCGCTTTCCAAAGCTGTGTGAGACCAGGGCTTCGATAGTTCTATATGGACTCCCTTGAAAAGCACTGTGTCACTTGATGTGTCTTCCAGTTTCTGATTAAGGGGAGGATTTGTGTATTTATCAAATGTTGTTGGAAGCTAGGATAGAAAAATGCCATTTATTTTAGGTTGCTTTAAAGGTAAATTGTCTTCAAACGTTAGAGTGATAGAAAAATGTTGTCTTGAAATGTCTTTCATATGGTATTCGACAAAATTACTTTTTCTTCATACTGCCAAATTATTTGTGTTTTTTCTCTCAATTGTTTTTAATGAAATAGCGTTGTTGGTGCCCAAATAAGCATGGTAACGAAAAATGATCAGAACATGCGGTTCGTTTGATAAAATCGTAATCGAGTCCCCCATGATCATTGACGGCAACGATGCATATTTTGTCATCCGTATTTAATTTGTATATTTATTATCCATGTGTTCATCAAAATCGTATGTGCACTAGTGAAAATTTCAATTCCCGCACAACAGTGTATTGTTTCCGTCATCCGGACGACATTGTTGGCGTCATTCTTATCTATTGTGACGTAAGGTCGGAAATATGTCACACTAGAAACGACGTCATAGCTGAAGATAGTTGACGTCATTTGACAATTGTGGTTTTCTATGACGTCTGTCGTGATCAGTGCATTTTTCTAAAGGGGAGCTCAAAAGCATTAAGAAAAAATGTGTAATAAAGAAATGTTTACACTCCCATGTGTGTCATACTGACTTTACAAAACTTGCGTAAACATTCATATATTACCCTCACTCTCGCTCTGGAAATACGAGAATTCTGACACTCGTTTCATTAAATCAGTATGACACACATGCTCGTATAATAAAATCTAAAAAATTATGTTTGCCCTATGTTTTTTGGCATGTGTATTGTTTACTTCTGTAATAAATGTACCAAATACATTACTCAGATCACCTAATAATTGGCACATAAGTATCATTAAAATTTGAACATAAACAACCGAGATCAAACTCAAGTTAAATAAACGTCCGTCACAAATTGTTCAATCAAGATATTTAGTGTACGAGGATCAGCTGTGATGATCGCTTCACAGGAAACAATCACGTCAGAGAATATTTCACAAACAATAATAATACTTACTGTAATAACATGCTATACTAACCTCCGCCATGTAGACGCAAATTATTGCATATCACAATCAGGGGATTAATCTTACCACGAGGACAGGACTATACCTTCAGTGTGTAACCAGACAAGCGTAGTGTCTCCGATCTGTTGAATACAAATCTCGGCACACCCTGATAAGCTAACAATGTTACCTACACGGTATTGACATAAATATACTAGTATAGGTAGGTAAACAAGGCTAGTTTTGTCTAAGTCAAATACATACCTATATTGTCTTAGCCTATAGCCTATATTCTTCCAGGAATTCCCAAAGGGAAAGGCGATGTGCGCAGACCAGCGAATTACATGTATATGGATTTGAGTTAAACAAACATGGAATACACACATGTATCATGCAGTTGTTACAAGACGGCAGTTGAAACAGATTGAGTGTAATAACTGTACCTTTTCATCAATCTAACTTCAAATCGTTTTTACTTTGTTTTTTTAGATTGTTGAATTTTGTGTATATTAACAGTACAGTTTCAGTTTCGTCATCAAATACAGACCTTATAAAAATTTCATTAACAAATGCGTCCATAAACGTAGTCGGTACTTCAAATCCATTTACCGTATTTCCCCTATTAGACACTTCGGCGCCTGTTAATTTCGCGAAAGCGGTTGACCCGGCGTCTGTTCTGTTTAATGCTGGTACAGTGGCAACACACTACCTTACCTGATTCCAAATTCTACAGTCATACAAAAGGTACATTTGCAGGAAACGGTCATTAATAAGTGAGGGGCGGTCGGGTAGCCTAGTGGTTAAAGCGTCCCTCGTCACGCCGAAGACCCGGGTTCGATTCCCGACATGGGTACAATGTGTGAAGCCCATTTCTGGCGTCCCCCGCCGTGATATTGCGGGAATATTGTTCCAAGCGGCGTATAACCATACTCACTCACCAATCAATAACTGAAGTGACTAATCATTACATGTTGTAACGTGATGGGGATAATTAATTTCATGAAATGAAGGACCCGGCTTCTTCTTTTTGGACAGAGTCTATGACCTGGCGTCCATTATATAATTTGTTTGTTGTTTAACGCCGCAATCAGCAATATTCCAGTTATATGATGGCGGTCTGTAAATAATCGAGTCTGGACCAGACAATCCAGCGATTGACATCATGAGCATCGATCCACGCAATTGGGACCGATGACATGCATCAACCAAGTCAGCGAGCCTGACCACCCGATCTCGTTAGTCGCCTTTTACAACAAGCATACTCGCCTTTTACGGCAAGCATGGGTTGCTGAAGACCTATTCTACCCCGGATCTTCACGGGTCCCATTATAAAATAAACCAGTGTCTAATAGAGGAATGTATATAGTTCAATTTGGGTTTTACTGATCAGTTCCCAAAGTGGGAACTTTCGCAATATTCGTCACACTGATGCAACACGATGAGGTCGTTAGATCCATAAAAAAAATAGGAAAGAAACTGCAGACGGAAGAAATATTGCAGCATTAACCTTCAAAAACCTTTCCTTGTCTTCAGGGGTAAATACACTGTATCTTTCAATTTTACAACGACCTGTTTACAAGCTAGTTGGCCATTGTCTGTGGAGTACAGTGGAGCCCTGACATGCACACACAAGCAGTATTTTGCTTTTACTGATCTATGACATACTGTCTGAAGCCAAAGATTTCCCTTGGTTGCAAAGGACATAAAATCATTCATGCAGAACATACTTACAAAAGAAAACACGTGGGCTGTTATTTATGACCATCTATGTTCATTTCATCTACGATTATTTCTATCATATCAGGGTGAAGGAGAAAAGGTATTCTCAACATCAAGATGACACCATAACATATGCATTGGACTACAAGAAATAAAAAAAAGTATATACCGTATTCGACGTAATAAGCGCCACGCTCTAACTAACGTCCACGGCGATATTTGCTAATATATTGGCGAGTGAAATTTCCCAATTAGCACTTCTACCGATTGATCAATGTACACAAGACTTATATATTCGTGTTATATGCACTCTTAATTATGGGTAATTAAATTCTGGAAAAATATATCTGTTGTATGTAAACATTTCAGGCTGTCAGCATAAACCACGAAATTTAAGATCTTTCAACTGTTTTTTTTCACTAAAATAATATTCTAATAAGAGCCCCCTATTTCTAATTTTGAGAGTGCACTGGGTGCTTATTACACGGTACCACTAAATATTTGATAGGGATATTCTTTATCTTTCCATGATACACAAACTGAGTCTCATATTTATGTCAGTGTACATTTAAATATATCTGACATACCTGAATATCCCTATTAAAAGTTGATTTTTTTTTTGTAATTCAGAGTAATTTCCTGTGTTCAACCCCAGTGTTGTGATTTATCTTGCTTTTTCTATTATTTACATATATTCAGTGACTTAGCCCACAAACTCTCATCTATATCATTGTGAACAGAGTTGCATTGGGTATTGTATGAGAATGGTCTTATGCTGCTGTTAGCAATATTCCAGCAATATGTGGGTTTAACCAAAGTGGAAAAGTCTACTACCTATTCCCCTTCGGCTTGAGTGAGTGTGAGTGAGTTTGGTTTAACTCTGCTTTTAACAGTAAACCAGTTATATCCTGGTGTCAGCTTAATGTGGGGGGAAAGCCCGAAGTGATGCAGGTCTGAGACGTTTACCACTTTGGTGAAACCCACGTGCTGAGCTCGGGTATGGTGCTGACAAACCTAGAAACATTATCAGGGCGAACTGGGATTCGAACCCACAATCATAGGTTTCTGGCGTGCCCAAGGGACGCAACTCTGCACAGCAAATTGCAGTGCCTTAGACGACTCCACCTTCGGCTTGAACTCAAGAAAGAAACGGACACATAGTGAAACATCCATTGACCTTTACAAGTCTATCATACATTATATACTACAAACAAGTTAAACAACACCTGATTTTTCATGACTTTTGTTAATCTGTGATGGCCATGACAGATTAACTTTAGTAATATAAAAGAATTTGGTTTCTTAACTTCTTTTGAGAAGTATATAAAGAAACAAGTATCGCTTCACTGCAGTTTCAAAGCGTGACAATATAGACAGTGGTGTCATTAAATCCAGTGTCTTGGCCACATAGTGGACCAACAGCCATGTGCCTGCAGCTAGAATCTTGCAGTGAATCATGGAGTCACATTAGTATATTCCAAAGTCTGACAGCACTTCCTAATGTCAGGAATCACACAATAACAAATTGTATTCCCTAAAACTACATCAGATAGGTAGCATTAATAGTAAAGTTTTTCTGTGGAGACTTCTTGTTCTCTTATTTGTTTGATGCATGAAAAACATCTCATTGTTGTTTCCTATTGGTCAAAACACATGGTGACAAAACCATAATGGCTCCGTGGCATTGTATATATGCCCATTGCAATTGCAAAAAAAACAAAACTCCAACACCTTTTCACATGGCCCGATCATGCCAAAAAGTAATTTAGAACAAGAATATTCTGTTTGGAGCGTTTCATGTTTAATTATATTGGATGGTTAAACAAAAATCATAAAGACATCTTGGTGAACAGAACTCCCTGACCTCACAGTTGAAAGAGTAATTCAGTCTTACTGATGTATCGCTGTTTCATTGTATCATCCCAACACTGTCATCCTTGATTTCATGTACATGGTACATCATATCTCCATTCTACCATCATAAATAGCCTGGACCCAATAGTCACTGCATTGAGCCAAATTTGAACTGAATGAAAAATCCATGTCCAATCAATTTGCTAACATGAGTACAACAAATGGGCTATGTTAGAGTTAGTCTAGATGGAGATCAAGACATGACTTACTAAACAAAGCATTTCAGAATAGGTCCATGGTATTTATAACAGAAAGGAGATATAATACCCTCGATAGAATGGGACATTATAGGCCTTCAGAGTTGTGCACAGTTATATACATTTATCATCCAAAACTGGCTCCCACAGGAGATATCGCTTGGGTGAGATCAAGCGATATCTACATTGCGGATATTGCTACAATGAAATTGCATCGCAATGCTTTGCAGACCATTGTGACCTCATTGGTTACCATGACTTCACAATCAAATGACATCACTAATGGCTCTGCTACTGAAGCTGTTAGCAGTACTTTTAACACTTAAGACATTGCTTATTACTGTCTACAAACTGAAAATGTTGGAAGAATGATGTTGGATGATAAATAAAATCTCACTCTCGTGTCTTTTGATATCAAATATATCAACACTCGTTGATAAAATTGGAAAAAGTCCTCGACAAGCCTCAGAGCTTTTCCACTTTTATCAACTTGAGTTGATATATTTGATATCAAAAGACACTCGGGTGAGATACACATAACAATGTAAAACAAAACAAGAACTGAGTTCAGCAGATCATGTTTATTGAACACATTTATCAAACATGACCATGTACATCAATATCATTGTGAGCAGCACATTAGAGTAACATACACAGGACTGAAGCCTTATCATCCGTCTGGCTGAAACCTTACACCTTGTACACAGTGGTTAAGCTATCAGGGACGAATGTGACCTTAGTCTCATCAAGTTACAAGCATCTGTAGCAGGCAGACCAGCAGATCCTTGTGGAACAGGGCCTTGGTGCCTGCCTGCGGTAGGTAGTATTGGCACGAGTGTAGAGCATCACAAGCATTTCAAGTATAGGACATAGTGTACACTGCAGGAGAATCTGTCAAGGAAAACTGATAGTTTCACTGCAGTTTCAAAGCGTGACAAAATTGACAGTGGTGTCATTGTATCCAGTGTCTTGGTCACAAAGTGCACCTGCAGTACCTGTGGTTAGAATTTTGCAGTGACTCATGGAGTGTTGATGGTGCATTTCTAACCCTGCTAGCCCTTCAATGTTACACGTGTGAGAAATCAATGACAGAGTGCATTCTCTTAAACACTGTTTTCCTACAACTTCCTACAATAATTGTACCAAATTAACACCAATGTATATCAAAATGCCAAATAAAATCTCTAACCTTCACACAACTTAAACACTCAACAGGAAGAAGTATTTGTTTTCAAAAGTGTTTTCGCGATTTTCATGCATACACTATTTTTTATGAACTTCTGCCACTTCACATTTGTTGTGTATCTGACTGTCAGTGTATAACAGTATGTACTTATTACTGGGATCTGAAGAAAGAATCTAGGGATAACGAACCTGGGCCACTCCTTCCTGTTCACTGAACCAATGACCATGCAGTGGAGAGATCATGGAACAATTTGAAATAATAACAAAAAGAAATACTGGTATTATTGATCAATTTATCATGACAACAATTTTTAACTCTGAATCATAGCACTAGAACAAGCAGACTGAAAACTTCAATTTACAGATCACGCTAAAGACAATGCCAAATTTGATAGCATACAGTACCATAAGACTTAGCACACTTTTGTAACTACATGTCTTACAGTGACATACATTTCAATAACCAAATCTATAGTTTTGTAAACTAAAGGACTCACTGTTGCTGTTTATTGCTAATCTTCCCAGTAGTTAACCATAGGGTTCTTGGTAAGTGGCAATACTGAGAGGAATATTAGCATTGTATTGGTCCTCACTCAACATGGAATATGTCTCAACCCCATCCCCAACAACCTGAAATGATTTAAGGATGTTCGCTGGTCTGCATTCAGAGTATTCAACTATTTCTAAAATATGGTACCGTATGTATTTTAAAAATCTAAACGATATTGAAAAGACAAGGAATGTGGGGGGTATCACTGCACATTGAATTGCACTATGCGCTGTTACTAAACACTGTGACAAATTCTTAATTTACTATACAGGCTTATAGGGAAATCACTTTTTGTGTTAACAGTTTGGCATAGAAGCATAACTAATAAAATCTCAAATTTTAAGCACTCATGGCCTTATGCACTTATGTTGAGCAAATGGATACAAATGTGGGCATATACACCTGTCTCTCAAACTGAATGCCATAATGAAATAATGTCAGTTATAACTATGCTGCTGCACTACTCCCATTAAATGGTAAGTAATATGCGACCTGTTGATAAACGGAAATTTAGGAAATTATTTTTTATATATGATGAAATTTTGTGTTAAGAGTCTTGGCTTCATTGCTACATCTCAGACATTTACATTTACCACTTTGGTGAAACCCATGAGCAAGGGTATTGTGCTGACAACCAAGAAACATGATCAGGGTGAACCGGGATTTGAACCCACAATCACGGGTTTCTGGCGTGCCCAAGGGAATGATTGAATGAATGAATATTGATTTATGCTGTATCAGAAAATTTCAAACTATTCGCGACAAGACGTGCCCAAGGGACAGCGACCTAAAGTGCCTTATACGACTGGGACACCCATTCCCCCCCCAACACACAACAAAGGTGCACAGTGACCATGAAAACATACCAGCAGACATCCATGTGATGTAGATAGAGATTCAAACTTACTGAAAGAGATCATTGTAAATACATCAAGAATATTACAACCATTAATCATGTTCATTGATACTCTTGGTCTCACAGTTCAGTCCAAATTGACTACATATGACAGTGATGTGCCGTTTCGTCCGAAAAATTATCTCATTCCAGTGATTTCACTACTTAGAACAAACTTAACTAGATTCGACCTTCTGAACCATGTTAAAACATTGACATCAATGCCAAAACATGTCTGTACATATGAAGTGTATAAGACATGCATACAAACCCATTTGAATGCAAACTGGTCATTTACAAACTTTGAAATGAAAATGACACGGTTACTGAAGATGCACACAGTTACATATTTGCATTTAACATGTTTGAACCAACATCAGGAAAAGATATTCTGATTCACACCATTGCACCAGCTTCTTCATAATGGCAGTTTTGTAGGTGTATCCCAGTGAGCGAAACTGTCACTTTCAGTATGTCCATTTCACGAGTTTGGTAAAGATGTCTGGAGAGACCCAGGACCTGATGACACCAGGTGTCACCAGAACACAACGCTATTGATTGGCTGCCTCACATGCATCTATCCAGTCACTGTACACATCAATAGCTTCTGACAGATCTAAGAAAGAGTTAAGGTATATAATCTTCTACAATGTTCTACTTTCAATAAATTTCTACATGTCTGCAATAATACTATACTACTCAACCTTTGATAGGGATAATAAGATAGGTCATTCTATTCAAATATACACTTGACATATAATAAGAAATATTTTTGTGCATCATGGAAAGATTATAATATCCCTATCAAACATGTAGTATAATATTATGCCCAATGGCACATAAGAGTATATTACATCATTCGTATGATGATTATCATGCTCATAATTGTATAATCTAAAATAATTTTCTATACTTCTGGTAAGCAGTGTTAAAAATAAAGCATGATCACGATCATGGGTCTTCGGTTCTTATCATAACCAGTATGTTAACAATTAAATATCTAGAGGGTCCCTTGACTTAAACACTAATAACCATAGCAGAAAACCCCATTTGATTGTATCGTATGTATACATGGTAAATAAACATATGAAATCTTAAGAAATCTTAAATAATGTCTGATAAGGATACAGTTGATGGTCGTCTGATAATCTTCTAGGCATACACCACAAGTGATCACGCCAGTATTCCTCTGCCGGTCACTGGAATAAAACACATGACAAAAACTTATAGCATGTATAAGATGGTTGCATCTATCATGTCCAGTGATAGAAGTTGGCAATACATGTAGTCTGGTAGTCCTGGATAAACTGCCCAGTGGTTAAGGTATCATAAGGACTAGAAGAAATTTGCCATTTTTAAGGGTTTTGCTATATGTTAGCATTATAAGGACAAATGGACTAAAAATGTTAGCTTCTACCGCTGAATTGTCTATTGGAGCGAACTATGGATAAACTATTTTCTTCTATATCTCTCATGTATCTACTCTTATAACATCTGTCTGACAGTGGGTAGAGCAAAGATATGAATAAATCTTCAAACATTTTGTTTCTTGTCCTTATTTGTCATCTCTTTTTCACTGTAAATTGTGAGACACAAATGAATCAAAAACTTTGCGGTAACATAAACCGTCAAACATTACACAATGTTTAATTTCAATGAAACCACATCTAGACTCAAACTTATGCAAACGATAGACATAAGCATGGTAAGCTTCATGTAAAACTCATAACCTTTGCACAATGTCAGCGACTCAAGTAAATGCCACAAATAGGTGTATATTTGTAACTCACAGCTTGACTTCACATGATTTCTCGTGGTTACAGAATGGACAGTTGAAGAGGGTATCAAGAGGCTGAATAGCCTTCTTCTTTGGTGGGGGTTTTGATGCCTTCTTCCTTCTCCCCATTGTCAACTTTGGATAGTTTTACTTCTGTGCTGAAAGACAATTAAGAACACAGCATTATTAGTTAGTTTTAAGCACAAACGATAGTGTTAGAATCAAATTGTTTGACAAATCAAGGTGGCCATTAGGAGTATGTCATACATAGCAACGACATGGTAAAAATTAGCTGAGGTGACGTAGGACCATGTCTTGACCGTAGGACCGTGACCCTTGGCTAGGTTAAAATGTAAATTTGTGTGTGGGGGCCAATAGATCAAAGAATATTAGTCACTGGACTAAATTATGTTAAGGCAAACGAATCCAAAGATTTCTATTAGCGCAGGCTATTATTGTATCAATATAATACTATACATTGTATACAGCTGTTGTATGGGCTTCGATTTTCTGTTTATTTATGTTTGACATCATATATGAATGTCACTATGAGGATAAGTGAATAGCCATTTTAACTTAAGTGATGAAGTAAGTGCTTGTATCGAAAAACGTTGATATTTTGCCAAGTTGATCGCAACGCGTGGATCTAGCCTGAGATTGAATTTGGCCAGCTTGACCACATTCGACATTTGTTCAGACATCGTGTAAAACCCGTGGATAAATTTCCTCATTTTGTGTGCAAAATATCCACAATATATTTAAACATGACAATGTATGTATTTTTCCTTCACGAAAAAGTCAATTATGACAACGTAAACCTTTATTTCCAAGGAAGAACGTCATGATAAACACACAAACCTGTTTTCCGGAAGTAATTGCTGCACAGCATTGTGGGATATATTGACTAGGAGAATATATTTGATAAATACATTAATTCATGTAAACTATAATATGTACATATGACCATTACTTGACTATGCATTAAAGTACGTTATTATATTTCAGTATCTAATGGTAGAAAATATATTGACATATGTCTCTCATAATTCTCTCTTGTAAAAGTAATTGTGTACGACATTATCCTTTAGGGTGCACTAACAAAATGTCTGCGCCCATGAAACAACTTGTGTTTGGCTGACACAAGCACTTTTTCTTAGTTTTGGGGAACAGTAGGGAGCTATTGCAGCAGTGACAATAACATTTCATGGATGTCAATTGAAAATTCAAATCAGGCGACGTAATATGAGTCAAAACATCACATATTCCCCCATTGTTTGCAGGGTTTAAGAGTAACTTCTGCAAAGTTGGAAGTTGATATTCGGTTGAAAAATAGTAGAAAGTGGAAATATGTTCTACCGTTCTCGAACGGGGACCAGGACAACCACCAAATTCAGTTGAAATGTCATCCTTGAATTCAAATGGCAACTGTCGGATAACATAATAATTATTTTGTGGCGGTAGTGGGGTAATACAATAAATCTAAAATGGCTTTATTAGAATATGAAAACCAAATGTTCCTGGATTCATTCCATGAAGATGGATTGACACTTTTAGCTAAGTATGTTATTTTTTTTTAGAAAGTCTGCTAATAGTGGAGTTTTTTTCTGGCATTTTAATGTCAGTCTGGTCTCTCTTACGGTGCAAGAAAACCATAATGTTTACATGTTTACTGTCTTGTACTGTCCAGAGACTGGTTTTGTCTGTATTGTTATGGTAAAGTACTAATAACTGTGTAATCTGTAATGTATTTATTGTGTTCTTTATTGGTCAACAAATGGATTATTTTATTTGCTATGTTTATGTTGTCATAGTAATAATATTTTTCAGACAACAACATTACACATGTATTTCACATCTTTGTTTATTCGTTTCTAGGGGCCTTGGTATTGACAGAATCTTTTTGAACTTCTTGAAAGTGTATTCAGACCCAGGTAGTCTAGTTTTGGTGTTGAACACATCCACTGCTGAAGAGGTGAGTTAATCCTGACAAAATAAATGAACATTATCCATTATTTAAGGAAAATCATGCAAATGTAGATGATATTATATGACTATTTGTATTTCCTTTTGTGAAGAACAGAAACCCATCAATCCGTTGTTGTAATGTTTGCAGGAATACTTCATTGAACAGTTGGAATCTCAAGGGGTGAAACCACTACCAAAGGCTATTACCAATGAATTCAGCGCTAATGATAGGTAAAGAGACGTATTCAAATTAGTTATGAACGACTGTCCAATGGCTAGCTTCTGACATAGGGGTCAGTCGTCCCAACACTGATAACCTCCAGAATCAGAACAATATAAGTTTGTCACATAAACATTTGTAAAAAGAAAAAAAAGTCTTGATAAATACCAAAAATAATTCTTATGACTGAAAGACCATAGTTAATTAGATAAGAAGTATTGAGTGTACGATCATGATGATGGTCTAAATTGTTCAGGAAGATAGATTAGATTGTGTTTCATTTCAGGTTAAACACATATGTTGAGGGTGGAGTATTGTTTATTACATCTCGGATCCTGGTTGTTGACCTGCTGACTGACAGAGTGCCCATTGATCATGTGACTGGTATCCTGGTGTACAAGGCTCACAAGTAAGTGGTGTGGGTGGGGTAGAGTACTGCTGTGGTTGAATGGGGTGGTGGTGGTGTGAAGATTGATATCAGGGTTTGTGATGTGGGCTAGGCGGGATACTGATGTGGGTGGCGTGTTGTGATGTGAAGAGAAGTCTGTGATTGGAACAGGGGAAGCTCCCTAAGATCAGAATCCTGAATATGATCTGACACAAATAGTTCTGGGTGGTCCATGCAATCCTGTCATGCCTCAGAAGACTATATGTGGGTGACTAACATGATCAGGTGGTCAGACTCACCGACTTGGTTGATGCATGGCATCATACCCCAATTATGTTGATCGATGCTCATGTTATCAATCACTAGATAGTCTGGTCCAGTCTTGATTGTTTATATTGCTGGAATATTGCATGGGATTCTAAACAAGGAACAAACAAAATATGTGGAACATAGACAATTAGCCAAGAGATGTAGATGGAAAAAAACACCAGCTTCATTTCTTTCTTTTCTGCATTCAAGGTCTTTGACAGTATCCTTACGATTGTAGATATTTTCTTGTCACAAATATGGTAAATTCTTCATTTTCAGAATTATTGAGTCATGTCAGGAGGCCTTCATTTTACGCCTGTACAGATCAAAGAACAAAGTAAGCATTTAAACATGATAAAATGAGGAATTGGTTTTCGATATTTGGAATAATGGAATACCTGCCTCTAAAACTATGTGATCACATAATACTATCTATACTATTAAACAATTAACAATGATTAATACATACAAATTGGTATGAAAGTAGAATAAAACTGATTTCAACTGTATGCTGATGAATATTAACATGATCATGATAATGCTTTAAAACAACACAGATGAATTCTAACAAATGATCAGGTTGAAGTATTCGTATTGTTATGTTAAAAGGGGGCACAGGTGACCCAGTCGTCTAAGGCGCCGCGATTCGCTGTGCAGAGTTGCGTCCCTTGGGCATGCCAGAAACCTATGATTGTGGGTTCGAATCCCTGTTTGCCCCGATTATGTTTCTAGGTTTGTCAGCACCATACCCGTGCTCGTGGGTTTCACCGAAGTGGTAAATGTCTGAGACCTACATCACTTCAGGCTTTCCTCCCACATTAAGCTGACACGCAGTGATATAACTGGCATAATGTTAAAAGCGGCGTTAAACCCAACTCACTCACTCACTCACTTGTTATGTTAAATTTCTGCTTTTTCAGACCGGATTTATCAAAGCCTTCTCTGCCAGCCCGGAGTCCTTCACCTCCGGTTTCTGTCAGGTGGAGAGGGTCATGAAGAACCTGTTTGTCAAGAAGCTGTTCTTGTGGCCCCGGTTCCACGCCAGTGTCGTGTCATGCATGGAGAAACACAAGGTCAGTCGACATGGTCGGTGCAGAACATTTCCTTGTAATATTAGGGCGGTTGGGTAGCCTAGTGGTTAAAGCGTTCGCTCGTCACGCCGAAGACCCGGGTTCGATACCCGACATGGGTACAATGTGTGAAGCCCATTTCTGGTGTCCCCCGCCGTGATATTGCTGGAATATTGCTAAAAGCGGCGTAAAATCAAACTCACTCACTCACTTGTAATATTAAGTTACATTCGTTAGTTTACAAGCTGATGAGTCTTGTACACCATGAGACTATGATACTGCTTGAATAATCTCTCACACGTTGCTGGTGACATATATACCAAATTTTTTATTATGAGTGGAAAGACTTGTTTCAAATTTGAAGCAGATTGTCACAGTGTATGTTAAGAATGGTGTTGTTACAGATAGCCACCCATAAAATTGATTGCTTCTCACATTTTTAACCATTTTATCAGTATAAAAAACTGCTTGGGTCACCTGTTTTGATGAAGCTAGTTTGGTTACTATGGTTACTAGAGGCCCGATTCATTTGTCTCACAGGTTGCCAGGATGTAGCTGTAGCCATTATTTATATTTAATCTCTTAATATGTTAGTTAATATTTAATCAATCTCGTCGTTTTGAGCTTGATCTCCTCAAACATCCTTTGTCATTACCTCTGACCTGTTGTGATGATTCTGAGGCAGAGGAAGTCCCAGTATTCCATGCCTGTTCAGTGCCTATTAGGCCGTCTTATGTGCCTTAGGCGCCGCAATTTGCTGTGAAGAGTTGCATCCCTTGAATCCCGGTTCATCCCGTTTATGTTTCTAGGTTTATCAGCACCATACCCATGCTTGCAGGTTTCAACAAAGTTGTAAACGTCGAAGACATGCATCCTCGCACATCAAACTGACACACATGATACATGTATAACTGGTATACTGTTCAAGGCGGCATTAACCCCAACTCACTCACTCACTCATTCATCAGTGCCCAGGAATGAGAACTGGTGGTTACTATGTGGGCCGGCCTGGCATGCTATCGCTTTCAGTGTTCGCAAAAATTTTAAAACCCAACAAGAAAGTCGGGCAGGTGACCCATAAATGTTGCATGCAATCTTCATGGTCATACCTGCCCACATTCAGACAATATTGAATTTCAATGTATACTTCTGTATTGTGTTATCAAGCTCCTAAGAAGTATTTATGATTATGTGTCTAAATATCAATCCCAATACTCTAAACTTATGACTAGATTGACCAATGAAAGCGTAGTCAGTTCCTTTCATCTGTCGTTAATAATGGACTGCCGACAAAAGTATGCGAAAAATAAGAGACAAATCGTGTCTTTATTCAGGTGAAATGATGCAAACAATTACTTGAGAATCTACGAGGAATAAATTAGGCAGTTTGAGGCAAATTTCATACAGCCCGACAGAAAAGTCACCAGCTGCGGGCAGTCGAGCAGGCAGTTATTTTGGACACTGGTTTCTATTGACCAATGGTAACATCTCTGGATTATTGCTGACTGGAGTGGAAAATAACAATCACTCACTCATTACTCCTGAGACAGACATCACTGAAGTCCCTCTGCAGGATTGGTTTGTTTGTTGTGATCCATTTAGTCAACATGTTGAAGAGCATAGGTTGCTGGGGACCTATTGTAACCAGGAATCCCCATGGGGGACCCTGTGCAAGAATATATCGAATTCTGGGGTCAGAATAGGTCCTCCAACTTAGCTTCTTTGTTGATTGTGGGTTATTGTACCCTAAGGGGAAGTTGCTCATAGTATCCAACACTTGTCTATCTGGCAGGGGGCATGGTTGGCCCAGTCGTCTAAGGCCCTGCGATTCACTGTGCAGAGTTGCGTCCCTTGGGCACGCCAGAAACCTTTGATTGTGGGTTCGAATCCCGGTTCGCCCCGATTATGTTTCTATGTTTGTCAGCACCATACCCGTGCTCGTGGGTTTCACAGAAGTGGTAAACGTCTGAGACCTACATCACTTCGGGCTTTCCTCCCACATTAAGCTGACATGCCGTGATATAACTGAAATACTGTTAAAAGCGGCGTTAAACCCAACTCAGTCAGTCTGTGTCTATCTTGCCCACAGTCAACTGCATGATACGGCTGAAATACAGCTTACTGGGGTATAAAACAAACAATCAAATTCAGCCTGGTCTCTCTTTCAGGTGGATGTGATTGAGCTGCAGGTGCAGATGACGTCCACCATGACGGCATGTCAGACAGCGCTGCTGGACCTCATCAATGCCTGTGTCAACGAGCTGAAGAGATGTACACCAGCTGTAAGTGTCCTATAGCTTTAGGTGTTACTTACACTACAAACAAACGCGAGAGTGGCGGGTGCTGCCGGCAGAGCAGGACATGCTTACTCTTGCGAACTCCTGGTGTCATCACTGATTTTCAGTGATCCATGTATATAATTTGTATCACTGTTTTGCCTCTTATGCCCAATGGAATCTGTTTCGCCAGATGATAAAGACCTGATTATTCTGCTGTATTCTTGGTCTTTTCAAATTATCTAAATTTCTATTGCTTAATGTTACTGATTTTGTAAAAATTCAAAATTGATTTCCTGCAGTACTTATATTTGTCAGGAAGTAAACTTGGATACGTATTTCATATTTGCGTTACTTTCAGATTGATACAGATGAAATCACAGTGGAGAATGCTTTAGCCAAAGCCTTTGACCGAGCTATTCGACAACAGCTGGATCCAATATGGCACCAGCTAGGGGCTAAATCAAGACAGCTCGTCTCCGATCTTAAAACTCTACGTCTCATTCTCAAGTTTGTAAAACCCTCATGTACTTACTAGTATGATACATTTTCATTACTTGCGAAAGACTGATGGGTGACTGGGTAATAAATTAAGGCTATCCCACACTAAAAGAAATTGGTAAGATACTGCCGTGAATAAAGTATTGGTGAAATATGGGATGATGCATTTGTAGCAGGATTTGGAGTCATCCCACAGATAACATCCTCACCCTGTCAGCCTGCTGACAGGGTTAACCTTTTTGGTCATGTGGACAAGGCGTCCGATCTCTGATCAGAAGGTCCGTGGTTCAATCCCATCTCGGGACTCAGAAATTTTATGGCCGCTACACGTTCAAAAGGAAGTTTGGACAGTAACACATGGTGCAGGGTATTTATATTGGATATAATATACTGGATTATCAAAGATGGGGAAATCGGGAAATAGTAATTGTTAATTGTCTCCTAATTTGGCCTCTTGGTTTTCTCTTTTCAGACACCTTACACAGTATGACTGTGTGACATTCTACAGTCTTGTGCATTCAGTCAGGTAGGTTGATTGTACAGAGATTAGTAGGGTCCATAGTATAGGAGCCATGCTCATTTATACATTTGTCAAAGATGTCCTGGAAAGATATGGAGGAGTTATACTGGAATTAGCTAGGCTTCTCAGGGACTCAATAAACTCAAATTAAGCCTTTTGCAAGACGACTTTGGATAAACAAAAAAAAGGTTGTATATTTGAAATTGTGTAATTTGAAGTGCTGTAATTATTTATTCTTGCAGGACAAATGAAAAAACTTTTGGTCAAAACACTGGTTGGTTGTTTCTGGATGCTGCTGACAGTCTGTTTGTGGTAAGTAGGTCGGTCTGCCAGTGTTGGGGTGAGTGAGTGACAGTCTGTTTGTGGTAAATAGGTCGGTCTGCCAGTGTTGGGGTGAGTGAGTGAGTGACAGTCTGTTTGTGGTACATAGGTCGGTCTGCCAGTGTTGGGGTGAGTGAGTGAGTGACAGTCTGTTTGTGGTAAATAGGTCGGTCTGCCAGTGTTGGGGTGAGTGAGTGAGTGACAGTCTGTTTGTGGTACATAGGTCGGTCTGCCAGTGTTGGGGTGAGTGAGTGAGTGACAGTCTGTTTGTGGTAAATAGGTCAGTCTGCCAGTGTTGGGGTGAGTGAGTGAGTGACAGTCTGTTTGTGGTAAGTAGGTCGGTCTGCCAGTGTTTGGGTGAATGAGTGAGAGACAGTCTGTTTGTGGTAAGTAGGTCGGTCTGTCAGTGTTGGGTGAGTGAGTGAGTGACAGTCTGTTTGTGGTAAGTAAGTCGGTCTGTCAGTGTTGGGGTGAGTGAGTGAGTGACAGTCTGTTTGTGGTAAATAGTTTGGTCTGTCAGTGTTGGGGTGAGTGAGTGACAGTCTGTTTGTGGTAAATAGGTCAGTCTGTCTGTTGGGGTGAGTGAGTGAGTGAGTGACAGTCTGTTTGTGGTAAATAGGTCAGTCTGTCAGTGTTGGGGTGAGTGAGTGAGTGAGTGAGTGACAGTCTGTTTGTGGTAAATAGCTCAGTCTGTCAGTGTTGGGGTGTGTGAGTGACAGTCTGTGGTAAATAGGTCAGTCTTTCAGTGTTGGGGTGAGTGAATGAGTGACAGTCTGTTTGTTGTAAGTAGGTCAGTCTGCCAGTGTTGGGGTGAGTGAGTGAGTGAGTGACAGTCTGTTTGTGGTAAGTAGGTCGGTCTGTCAGTGTTGGGTGAGTGAGTGAGTGACAGTCTGTTTGTGGTAAGTAGGTCGGTCTGCCAGTGTTGGGGTGAGTGAGTGAGTGACAGTCTGTTTGTGGTAAGTAGGTCGGTCTGCCAGTGTTGTGGTGAGTGAGTGAGTGACAGTCTGTGGTAAGTAGCTTGGTCTGTCAGTGTTGGGGTGAGTGAGTGAGTGAGTGACAGTCTGTTTGTGGTAAATAGTTTGGTCTGTCAGTGTTGGGGTGAGTGAGTGACAGTCTGTTTGTGGTAAGTAGGTCAGTCTTTCAGTATTGGGGTGAGTGAGTGAGTGAGAGACAGTCTGTTTGTGGTAAATAGGTCAGTCTTTCAGTATTGGGGTGAGTGAGTGAGTGAGTGACAGTCTGTTTGTGGTAAATAGGTCAGTCTTTCAGTATTGGGGTGAGTGAGTGAGTGAGAGACAGTCTGTTCTAATTGAGAGCTTTAGGGGAAGTTGATAAGTGCCTGAATGGGCTGGTGAGTTGATAAATGACTTAAGGTGATTGAAATGATATGGTGGGTTGCAAACTACCAGCTATTAGAAACATGTGATTAGTGAGCTTTATAAGATCCTGAATTGTCAAATGAGCAGATAAGTGATTTGGTGGATAAGAGGGTGAATGAGTGAGTGTGTGTGGTTGACTGTATTAGTGACTGTGACTGGTCAATGTCGGATGTAAGTAGACTCTCTCCACTTTGGAACGTTTTTTTCCCAGCATGCTAAAGACAGAGTCTGGAAGTCTGCACCCAAAAAGAAGAAAACTGGAGATGAAAATGAAGACAAGACAAAGGAGGAACCAAGTATGTCATCAAACAAAGTCAGATACATTTAGCTCCGATTTACCAAATGACAGGTAGGATAAATACAGGGGATGTGGTGAAAGCGTTCACTTGTCAAGTCGGAGACCCGGGTTCAATGGGTACAATGGTTGTGAAGCCCTTCTGTGGTGTCCACTGCCATGATATTGCTGGAATATTGCTAAAAGCAGCATAAAAACCAAACTCACTCACTCAGTCATTTTTACAGCAGCAAGCTCAACATGAAAAGATCTTATGCTATACAACACTGGGTAAAAAGGAAATGTTAGGCTCTCCTGACAAATTAAAAATGATATGTTTTGAGGTGCTGACTGAAAAAAATATTCCGTCTCAAACAAAATCTCCAACCGCCCACCCCTGAATATTAAATGGACGAGTCCCAAATGTGAACCATGTCCTCGCTGTAGTCCCTGTGCTGGAGGAGTGCCCCAAGTGGCAGGTGTTGAAGGAGGTGCTGCGAGAAATTGATGAGGAAAACAAGAAGTGTGACCCTGACCTTGGCCCAGGTCGAGTCCTTGTCTGTGCTGAGGATGATCGCACATGCAGCCAGTTGAAGGAGGTAAGAAACAGAATATGAGAACAGGATCAGGACAATCACGAGTTCAGGACAATCACGAGTTCAGGACAATCACAAGTTCAGGACAATAACGAGTTCAGGACAATAATGAGTTCAGGACAATAACAAGTTCAGGACAATGAGTTCAGGACAATAACAAGTTCAGGACAATAACAAGTTCTGGACAAAAATGAGTTCAGGACAATCATGAATTCAGGACAATGAGTTCAGGACAATAACGAGTTCTGGACAAAAATGAGTTCAGGACAATCATGAATTCAGGACAATAACGAGTTCAGGAGAATAACGAGTTCAGGACAATGAGTTCAGGACAATAACAAGTTCAGGACAATAATGAGTTCAGGACAATAACAAGTTCAGGACAATGAGTTCAGGACAATAATGAGTTCAGGACAATAACGAGTTCAGGACAATAACGAGTTCTGGACAAAAACGAGTTCAGGACAATAACAAGTTCAGGACAATAACAAGTTCAGGACAATAATGAGTTCAGGACAACAAGTTCAGGACAATAATGAGTTCAGGACAATAACAAGTTCAGGACAATGAGTTCAGGACAATAACGAGTTCAGGACAATAACGAGTTCTGGACAAAAATGAGTTCAGGACAATAATGAATTCAGGACAAAAACGAGTTCAGGACAATAACAAGTTCTGGACAATAATGAGTTCAGGACAATAACAGGTTCAGGACAATAATGAGTTCAGGACAATAACAAGTTCAGGACAATAATGAGTTCAGGACAATAACAAGTTCAGGACAATAATGAGTTCAGGACAATAACAAGTTCAGGACAATGAGTTCAGGACAATAACGAGTTCAGGACAATAACGAGTTCAGGACAATAACGAGTTCTGGACAAAAATGAGTTCAGGACAATAATGAGTTCAGGACAATAACGAGTTCAGGACAATAACGAGTTCAGAACAATGAGTTCAGGACAATAACAAGTTCAGGACAATAATGAGTTCAGGACAATAACAAGTTCAGGACAATAATGAGTTCAGGACAATAACAAGTTCAGGACAATAATGAGTTCAGGACAATAACAAGTTCAGGACAATAATGAGTTCAGGACAATAACAAGTTCAGGACAATAATGAGTTCAGGACAATAACAAGTTCAGGACAATAATGAGTTCAGGACAATAATGAGTTCAGGACAATAACAAGTTCAGGACAATAATGAGTTCAGGACAATAACAAGTTCAGGACAATAATGAGTTCAGGACAATAACAAGTTCAGGACAATAATGAGTTCAGGACAATAACAAGTTCAGGACAATAATGAGTTCAGGACAATAACGAGTTCAGGACAATAACAAGTTCAGGACAATGAGTTCAGGACAATAACAAGTTCAGGACAATAATGAGTTCAGGACAATAACAAGTTCAGGACAATAATGAGTTCAGGACAATAACAAGTTCAGGACAATAATGAGTTCAGGACAATAACAAGTTCAGGACAATAATGAGTTCAGGACAATAACAAGTTCAGGACAATAATGAGTTCAGGACAATAACAAGTTCAGGACAATGAGTTCAGGACAATAATGAGTTCAGGACAATAACGAGTTCAGGACAATAACAAATTCAGGACAATAACAAGTTCAGGACAATAATGAGTTCAGGACAATAACAAGTTCAGGACAATAATGAGTTCAGGACAATAACAAGTTCAGGACAATGAGTTCAGGACAATAACGAGTTCAGGACAATAACGAGTTCAGGACAATAACGAGTTCTGGACAAAAATGAGTTCAGGACAATCATGAATTCAGGACAATAACGAGTTCAGGACAATAACGAGTTCAGGACATTTTTGAGTTCAGGACAATCACGTGTTCAGTACAAAAACAAGATCATTACAATGTGAAGATCATTGCAACCAAGGCTATAAGTATCATGTACTATCAATGATTAGAACAGTCCTGTTCTCTACCTTTGTTTCAGTGCCTGTGTGATGGAGGCAAGTCTATGCTAGCCCGACTCTACAACAAGTTCCTAGCTGTGAAGGGCGGCCATGTTGAAGGGGAGAAAGACGTAAGTGGAGGCTACACTTTTTGTCTCTCAAAATTCCAGCTAATTGATATCATTTGATTCCCTTCATAAATGGCGATTAACGTTCAATACTCTGCAAATCTATGACGCCATATTTGCACTTACATTTATGTATCTAGCAATGTCATTGTGCTTTCAGAGAAAACATTTTTCAAGGAAAGGGAAAGGTCATGGCAAGGGTCAAAAGTCTGCTCCTGAAGCGTTGACCTTGACCCAGATGATTGATGCAAACAAAGAGTTGGCTGAAGGAGACCAGGTGATGACAATGAGATCTGAGTTAAACCTATCCAAGACAGTTTTGCACATACCGGGCGTTGACAACATGGTTTGTTATGAGGTCATGCCTGCCTGGAGTTGAGACTAGAATGCCTCAGATAGATTTTCCTCTGGAACTAGTACATCACACAACAGACATTCCCCCAAAAGCAGGAAGGTGCCTGAATCAGAATGTTTGCATGGATGATTCCACAAGTGGTCCCTCCTTATCCCTGCCGCCTCCGTGGTCTAGTGGTAGAGCGTCCGCCCGGAGAGCGGAAGGTCCGGGTTTCGATCCCGGCCGCGTCATACCAAAAGACGTTAAAAGATGGTACTTGTTGTTACCCTGTCTGGCGCTCGACATTAAGGGGCTAAAACAAGGACTGGTCGGCTCGGAGTCAGTATACTGTGTCTGAGTGGGGTATTCATGTTAAACTGCGGCATGGTATCTCAGTGAGCTAGCACTATAAATCGGCATCAGTCCGGACTAGTACAAGCAGTCACAGACACACACGTGCATGCACGTCGCTATATAAGTGCAATAATCTTGGACGCGACGTTAAACCCAATTTCACCTCACCTCACCCTCCTTATCCCTGTCAGGGATTCTCGGGTTTGATATGTACAGTATCTCATGCTTGTCATTAGAGTGGGGATTGGGTGGTCAAAATGTATGCCTGACGCTGTGTGTTTTTGCAGCATCAGTTATTGCACATACTATCAGCCACTGGGTTGGCTGACCCAGACGCATTACAGGTTTCCACGAAATCTTATTATGATATCTGACTGTTTCATAAAACAACATTCACTCACTCATTCATGAAGTCGTGTCCAATTTGGTGTGGTGTTAGTGGGTCTGAACATATGGTATCAAATATTTTGGGATGAACTGGATTAGTTTGCAGTCTTGTCATATGGGCATGTTCTCATTCATAATGACATGAATAACGAACATGACAAATAATGACCCATTTCTGTGTGAATTTGACATACAGCAACATGCCTAACAGAATCATTTGAAATATGGATTCTGTACCTGTGTTTACTCATGGAGTATGTCATCGTTCAAAGAATACTGGGTACTTTAGTGTTTTTTTTTTTTTACCAAGCCGTTTTCACATTCACTCATCATATTCAAGTCACTAGCTGACAATGCCTACTGGAAGTTCTTTCTCATTACCGGTAGGTGCCAACATTCATGTTTTCGCAGCATTCCGATACCTCAGATGACTCCCCCCTGACCTCCCAGGATGCCTACTACGGGGTTCTGCCGGAGCCGATGACCATCCTGCACCCCCTCCACGGCTGCACTGACCCCCACGGGCTGACCCGCACCCTCCAGGAGGTCGAGCCCAGATATGTCGTGCTGTACGACGCCGACATGCAGTTTGTACGACAGATAGAGGTGGGCACTCATATTGACGGCAACTACTTCCCAACTTACTTAGCAACTGTTCAGCTACTGGTGAACTATTACCATCGGTGTTAGCTTCATGGAATTTCTCGGCAATATGATACAAACTTAGACTTTGGTAATGAAATAGATCAACTTTCATCTGTTTGTCCGCAGCCGACCTGACCCATGATCTGGCAACTTATGGCTGCCTAGTGTTGGGAACATATACTTCTTCTCTTTTTTATCTTGCCATGATACACAAAACTGATTCTCATGATATGTCAAGTGTATATTTAAATAGAATGACATGTCTGATTATTCCTATCAAAAGTTGATGAGCATATTTTGCTATTCAGTTGGATTTCATCATTTTTGATTACGTTTGTTTGTTTGTTGTTTAACACCGCACTCAGCAATATTCCAGCTATATGACGACTGTCTGTAAATATTCGTATCTGGACCAGACAATCCAGTGATTGATATCACGAGCATCGATCCACGCAATTGGGATCGATGACATGCTTCAACCAAGTCAGCGAACCTGACCACCCGATCCTGTTGGTCACCTATTTACGACAAGCATAGTCGCCTTTTACGGCAAGCATGGGTTGCTGAAGACCTATTCTACCCCGGATCTTCACGGGTCATTTATAATTACAATCATATTGTTTCAGCAAATCAGTTATTGATAACACACAGCTGCTAATATATTCCATTACATATAAAAGTACCCACTTTAATCCTTGATTTAATGTCAGTATTTCATTCAGTATAAAGCTGCAGATTTTAAAGACCTCTATGAAAGAAATGTTTAATTTTCAAAATGGATGTCTGCAATACTTTGTATACACTGTAGGAGTTTGGTAGCTAAGCTATGTGTAGACGAGTTGGGATTGACCTTCATGGTTTGGAAAGGAAAGGAATACTTTCGGGGGGTCCAGGTTTCAGGTTGTGACCTACGTGTGGCACACTTCAGTGGAGTAACATCATGCGTGTAACATTACAATGCCCTGAAGCCCTGTCCTAATTGTAAAAAGGTGATTTCTTTATTCGAAACAAAGCTCAGTTATCAAGTGAAATAAAATGGAAATGGATTGTCTGAACTCTTTGATTGTATACTACTCCCAACAAGTTAAAGAACACCCAATTTCTTCAAATGAAAATAGTTAATCCGTCATGGCGATCACAGATTGACTACAGTCATATGAAAATATCTGGTGTTATTTAACTTCTTTTGAGTTGTACATTTCTTATGCAATTGAAACGTCAGAAACTATTTCAACTGCAGCATGCATGTCATATTTAACTGACGTTTCTATCGCATAAGAAATGTAATACTCAAAAGAAGTTAAATTTCTACCTCTGCCTTTTCAGCTTCCTTTCAAACACTGTTACGTCTGTTTGAATCATTAAAACTATTTCAACTGCAGCATGCAGGTCATATTTAATGATTCAAACAGATGTAACAGTGTTTGAAAGTAAGCAGAAAAGGCAGTGTTAGAAATTGGCACGAGTCCTGTAGTCCTTGTCAAACTGACCAATGCATCATAAGGACGAGTAGAAATTTGTCATTTTAAGGACTAATGGGGTAAAAATGATAGTTTCTACCGCTGAAAGTCTTGGGGTTCTTGTCATGCTGCTAATGTTAAAAGTTAAGGATTATGGGGTCAAATATTACAGAGCAAACTTCAAGGATCCCTCATGAGGTTCAAACACTGCCTGATTGTGCATCCCATGGAGGTCAAATTGTATATCATTTACACCCATTCTTTATTTCTATGCATGATTGATGCAATATGGATCCAGTAACAACCTGCCACATTGGTACACATTGTTTCCTCGTGTGACCTGTGTCTGACATGCAGTGACTTCAATGTGCTAGGTGTATCGCTCCACACGTCCGGGGGCCCAGCTGAGGGTGTACTTCCTGCTGTACGGCAGCTCGGTGGAGGAGCAGAGATACCTCACCACGCTCAGGCGGGAGAAGGATGCCTTTGAACACCTCATCAAACAAAAAGCTGTGAGTGTCAATAACAAGATGGGAACCCAGTAACATTTAAGTGTGCTTCACGCCAACAAAAGGTGCTCCGCACTGTCAGCACTCTTTCGAATGTCCAATACACATGTACTTGATATCTGAAGGAAAACATTATATTAATTTACATAACCAGATTTCCAATACTTTCTTGATTCTATAGAAACACCAGGTCCCCTGTTAAAGGTATCCCAAGGGCCTGCCATACAGACCCTGAAACAAATATATCCAGTATAGCATAAGCAAGTCTATAATAGTTGGCAAGTCTAGATTACTGCAGTTTCAATAGAATGCAGAGTATCTGGGCTCCTTTTTATTATATTTTATTAAGATAATTTAACAACTTTTTTTTCTGTAAAATATTTCCATTTCAGAAAATAGATTTGAGTCAAGGGCTAGTAGAATTTCAGTCTCTGTTGTGTTTATATCATGTCACTATTTGGGCGAGAAAATAGTTCAGGTTTATTTGTACAGTGAACTTGGGTGGCAACAGTGGCTCAAGCTCAGTGATAGTTTTCAGATGAGTGACCCAGCAGCTTTGAAAATTTGAATCTTACATTTCATAATTTTGATATGCAACATTAAGGTTAGTTAGTATTTAATATTTTTGTTTCTTGTAATCAGACAATGGTGATCCCAGAGGAGAGGGATGGCAAACTGGAGGACGACCCAAACCTTGCACGGGGTACAACTGCAGCAAATGAAACTGTCAGCTCTCGGAAAGGTGGCACAGTCACAGAAGTTCAGCAGAGAGTATGTTTAGATATAGGCCTTTTTGATGTACAGTAAACTACTGTTATAACTAACTCAAAGGGACCAGTGATTTTAGTTCGTAATAACCGTAGTTCGATATAAGCATATAAACAGCATATATACATCAAATGGCCAGGACTAAAAAATAAGTTCATTATATCCGTCAGTTCGTTATAAGCGTGTTCGTTATAAACGTAGTTTACTGTATATGTTTATGCATGGGTCATAAAAAATTGTCACCAAAGAAAAGCTTCAGTTAGCTATACAGTATCGCTAGTTGTTCATTTGTCTTATTTCTTGAAATAAAATTTAATTCGTTCATAAGTTGGGGTCCCATGTTTGTTCCAGTATTGTTGTAATTGGGGAGCACGATGTCATGGTAGGTGTGCTAATTCATTGATTAGGGTATATGAACTGTTCTTTGTCAACAATGTTTTCTCCTGACTGTGGGTGATAATATCGGTTTCAGGTAATTGTTGACATGAGGGAGTTCCGAAGTGAATTACCATCTCTTATTCATAGGAAAGGAATTGACATTGAACCAGTTACAATAGAGGTGAGTGGTTTGCAGAATAATTGGGGAATACAAGGGCTTGGGATTGTTTTGCAGACATTTTAGATTTTTGGGTGCAAATCTTGCAAGTCAAAATAATTCCTCTTCATTATCACGAATAGGTTCACACTGATCTGGGATTTGTTATCTCTTTGCAAGCAGTACACAGTTGTAAGTTATGACATCTATCCAACCTTCAAAACAGTAATTTATTCAAAAAACAATTGAAGAATTTTCATTCATTTTAAACTGTTGATTGACAAAAATGTTTTCACTTTTGGTGATTGTTATCATCAGTTGCCATAGATACATGTCTTTTTGATGCACAGGTAGGGGATTACATCTTGACCCCTGACATCTGTGTGGAGAGGAAGAGTGTGAGTGATCTGATTGGATCACTCAACAATGGCCGACTCTACAACCAGTGCGTCTCGATGTGTAGATTTTACAAGAGGCCAGTGCTGCTGATTGAGTTTGATGCCAACAAGTCCTTTGCTCTCCAAGTGGGTAAAACTGACTCAGTAGGCCTACATATGTATTCTCAAGATTTTTTGAATATTTAAGTGTGGTCACTGGCTAATTGTAGCGTTGCTTGTTGATATGTTAATCTTTAAGAGTGGTATTTGATTGTATTTTGTGTACGCTCCGTCAACAAAAATATTATGGTGGGTTTGTATTGCAATTAGGGCAAGCTGGCCCAGTTGTCCATGGTGTAGAAACACCTTGCTGTTAGAGTTATGTCCCTTAGGTGCGAGGATCTGCTGTTCGGGGGTTTGAATCCCAGATTTGTCCCAATTATGAAACTAGGTCTGTCAGCACCACACCCAGGCTCATGCCAAGTTTACAGCCTGCACTTTAGCAGTCTTCAACATAACCCTACACACTGTGACACAACTGAAATACTCTTTATAGCAGCACTAAGCCAAACACAATCATTGCATTGTAATATATTCTTAACAGGTACACTATATATTGCATTGTTATGTATACTGTTGCTATGTGGCTGAAATAATGCTGACGCGACGTTAAATTTTAACTCACTCACTCTCAACAGATATATATTGTATAACATATTACAAATTATATTGTTGTTTGCAGGGCAAATATCCAATGTCCAATGATGTTTCCATCCAAGATGTAACATCCAGGCTGTCCATATTGACCCTACACTTTCCCAAACTAAGAATCTTGTGGTGTCAGAGTCCCTATGCTACTGCAGAAATGTTTGAAGAACTGAAGGTTAGTAGAACTTTATACATCACAGAGGCATGACACAGCTTGAATTGATGGAGAATCCACAAGATACTGGGAGTGCCAGTCACTGGTTCCTGCACTGTTTTCTCTACCTACTAGGGCTGGGACGATACAATAACTTAACGATCACAATACCTTGCTCACAGTCCTATACACATCACGATGCATGCATGTGCTCTTATCTATGGTGCATAAGCCATCTTTTTCATAAACAGGATGGACAAATACCTGGCACACTAACGATTTACATTTGGCAGTGTCAATAATGGCGCAATGGATGAAAATATTTACATTTTAACTACTCACTTTTACAAGTAATTATTGTTTGGTGTAACATTTATTAAAGAATACATTTAAGGTAAGAATCGATACTATTTACTTAGTATGCGATTATGAACGATACTTGATACTTGTCGTCCCACTACTACTACCTAAGACAGCATACTTGTTGCATAAGTATGAGGTAGTTTTATCTTCAGATAAAGGAAACAGAATAGTTGGTGGTTTCCTTACTCCTAGAAATTTTCTTCAAGATTTGATTAATAATATGTTAACTAGTTACTGTCCTGTGTCGATACAAAATGATACAAATATAAGATAAGGATGATATGTCAATTTGTATGAAATCAATTGTCAGGATCGGATGGTGAGGCTCACTGACATGGTTGATGCATGTCATCGTATCCCAATTGCATGGATTGATGCTCATGATGTCAATCACTGGATTGTTTGGTCCAGACTTTATTATGTACAGACGCTGCCATATAGCTGGAATATTGCTAATTGTGGCATTAAACAACAAACAAACAGCTGGTGGGAACTATTTTTTTACTAAGCTATTTAATTTATTGTTTGTAAGCCCAGGAAATGTTGACTTTAGCAGTATATTTTGAATTTTTCTGTAGAAATAATGAACATATATTACAGAAAGGGCGGCCCCAGCCTGATGCGGCGACTGCGATGACTGTGACGGCTGGAGAGGGAACAGTGGAATGGACAGACAAGTACAACCACAGTCCTCAGGTGGGTTGTTAGTGAACACTGGTGTGGCAAGTTGTAATCCGGTGCCTTACAGGGAGAGGATGAAAACACATCATGCTATTTGAAGACTTCCTAATCATGTGGCTAAATGTGGGATTGCTTGTAAATTATGTTGACTGCAAACATGTTGAGTTATCTCCCTTTGCTTATCAGTGAAGTTATTATAAGCTATTCATTATATTTTTACTTCATGATGATTGGCTAGTTAACACCAATTGTTCACATTGCTTGTGAAGCAGCCTATAGCAATGTGGCGTTGCCAGAAATTGACAATGACATCCCCCTGTGTTCACACGGTAATGACCTACTCCCAACCTCATCTGCTTAGGCTTGTATAAACTGAATTCATTTGGATCTGATAATCCGTAATTCCTTATAGTTTGTAGTCTATTCTACATATCTGCAGTACATTGAAAAAAGAATCTATTTGATTGGTTGCAGGACTTCCTGCTGAGGATGCCCGGAGTGAACTCCAAGAACTACCGGTACATCATGAACAAAGTACAGGACCTGGCCGAGCTGACCACGCTGTCGGAGGAGGAACTGTCAAGCATTATGGGTAATGCCCAACAAGCCAATCAGCTGTACACCTTCCTTCACACAGAACAGAAACAGATGGAGGTGGTAACCACATCAAGCAAATCACGTTTTGAAAATAAGAAATCTTTCAAACGAAAAAGATGATATCCCTTGCAAAGGAATTTTGGAAAATTTCTGAAAAGACGATCAGCTGCAGTGTTCCTTTTCACCTATAAGAAGTACGATACAAGTACTTTGCAAATCATTGCCGGATATTCAAAGCATTGTCAAGTGGAAACTTAATAAATGTGTAGAAAGTCCAACACATAGTGCATATTGTACAGAATTCTTTCAGGGACTCATTACAAACAAGGTTGAGTGTTGAGCAGATGTGTTGAGTGTAACTCAATGTGCACACTCTGTAGCAAAAAAGTCAATGTTGCACTGAAATGATGGAAGTTTCTGAAGACTCATTCAAAGAAGAAGAGGAACAAAGAAATGTTCAAGTTGTTGTGAGGGATACTGGAAAGTATTAAGGCACTGATCGGTAGCCATCATCAAGGAACTAATGACACGAAATGCTAGAACTTTATGCCATGAGATGTCATTTTAACATTGACATGGGACACAAAATTATGTATGTCATAATTTACTTTCATGCAAGTGAAATTTTGAAATGATGCATATAATTTGTCTTGTTTTCTATCATCCATTGAATGTGTGAGTGAAGGATGAAAGGTAGATTTTGTGTGCTAAGAACACAACAAACCCCTGAAGACAGCTGGAGAAGTGATCACCAAGTAGAAATGAGGGGACTAAAATGGGGATAGTGTGGTCACAATGTCAATCCATGAACAGTTAATATTCTGTCTTTTACTTTTCAAAGAATTCTTCTATGTTATAGTCTACCACATTGCAATGTCAGGGAGAAGTAGTACCCATCATGCCTATTTCTGTTGCAAAAACTATATTGACAGGGATAGGGTGGTTTACTGAGCATATCCTGTTTGATTGGATGGCACTGCAATCAACCTTATATACAGGCTGTGGTGAGAGACTCAGCTTCAATATTGCTGATTAACACAGCTTAAGTATTGTAAAACAACATTCACCCATTCTATATACTAGTGATTTCAAGGAAATATGTCCCCTCTATCACCTTCAGACGAAAATTGTAAATTAGGTGTTAAACAAGGCCCAACTGAACAATCATGTTAGGATAAATGCCATTCAAGTATCTATCTCCACATACTAGTAGTAGAACTAGTGCATGAATCACTTCATGTTTTGATTCTTGATCCCACTTTCGTGTTTCATCTTGACTTCTGTCATTGATTAATACTTTAGGTCTATGGGTAACACCATTTTGATGTTTTTTTACTAACATTTAGTCATAGTCAACACGGTGGTCAAAGTAGGAATACCATTCTGCCCATTATTGATTTTCTCATGGAAATATTTTCAAGGTTGAGTCAAGTTATTGGGTTTGCTCAACATGAAGTGAATCAAGATAGATTTAGATATTAGACAACTCTCTGAAAAAAAGCAAATGAAAACACAACTAAAGTATGTACCAACTAATCATGTATTTCAAAACACTTTATACATCCCAGCTCAAAAAATACTTTTTAATAATTTCTAAGTATGGTCCTTACAAATTGTCTAATAGGTAACAAATTATATCAATGTTTAATGACATGTAATTTTGTAATTGTCAGTCTAAACTTTCTTCTTGAACACATTCTTCACCCTTCTGAAGAAGTTGGCCACCCTTGACATGAAGGCCTTCAGGAAGGAATGGGAAGGCTGGGTGATTTCCTCATCAGCAAGATCTACTTCAACAAAGTCAGTGTCGTCCACGATGAACTGACCAGCAATGGTGAGGGACACAGAAGGGACAGTGCTGGGACGAAGGGGGACAGGCAGATCTAAGGGGGCAGGGATGGTCAATGACTCCAAGGTTGGATTCTATACATAGTGAGAAGAGTTGAGATCAAGAAATGTGGAGAAAGAGAGTTATAGGAGAATGTTGTTGGAAAGAAAAGAAATATGGTAGTGAAGTTGATGGGAATTATTTAAATAGGGAATAGAGAAAAATATAATTTTTCCTCGGAACTTAATATGCAATAAAATCCTTTCATGTAGCTTTTAAAAATGAATTTCACAGCCATCATGATGCTAGTATACCGTCAGGAGATTAGTTTGTGAGTGGAAAAGAAAGTTAACTGGCTGTTAACTAGTTTGCAAACTTAGATCTTCATTTGAAATCAGTCTCTGCATTAGGACTTTGGTCTGAGTTTGTTGTGGTATGAGGAGTAAATCTAAATGTGTTACTTATGGGTTTCGGAAACCAGCATACTAAATTCGTTGCAATGTGTCAGTACAGAACAAATGGTCCTACTACACCTACTGGACAAGGGGCGGGATAGGTCAGTGGGGACATGGCCAGGGGGAACCAGACCATCCGATCAACTGGCAGGGGCAAAAGAATATTATTTAAGACACATGCTGCAACACTTGAACTGTTAGACAAAAAACTTTATTTTCTGTTTTGAAGTCTTGCATACTACAAGTCAAGTACATGTTATGTTTGTACAGTGGGTAAAGTGGAACACAAACTGATGAGGTTGATCTACTAAATGATTAGCCTACAGCAACTTGATTCATATCACGAGATTCGTAGCTTTACACAAATACAACTATCAATTCGTATTAACAAACCCATGAAGGGTCCCAAGAATCTGGGTCCCGTTCCACAAATCGACCGTAGCAATACGACTGTCGTAAGCCAAAGCGGCAAGCCTATGATAAAGTATGGGTGTTAGATCTTTGCGTTACGATCTGTGTGCCGTTGTACGAAGCGATCTTCGCGCTGAGGTGGTCGTAACTCCCATACCATAACATAGACGTACGACAGTTGTAGCGCTAAGGATGTTTTGAACAATGGCACCTGACACTGAAGTATTGATATATAATTGAAGTAAAATTAAGCTACTGGCCCGGTAGCCCACTCGAAACGAAAACCTTTGCACACTGTGTGGAAAAAATAACAATGAGAATCAAAGATGACATTTTGATAGCGGCGAGAACTGTAGATAACATAACTGAATATTACTTTGGACTATCTCACTAGGCTACAGAATCATGACAAAACTTAGAAGAACCACACAAGGCGCTGACGAGATATCATTTCACTCAGTCCCAAAGCATCATGGTGGAACGAAGACGTCCAAAAACCTAACAAGAATTCACAGATGGGTACCTTGAACGTAACTGCTCGCGTTCATGGTGGCAGATAGTCAAGCAATGGAAGATATTATAGGTAGATGCAGTTTTCAGATTCCCTTAGTGCAGATAAAACAACAATGGCGTCGATGTTACCATCAAAGTGGCAACGGTTGCCAAGGACAACATGAAGTCTCGCAAAATGACAAAATCACACGTTATTACAAGTTTTGACTAGTTCCAGGTGGTAAGACTTGCGCTTGCAACGTAATATATCTAGAGACGGGATCAAGTAACAACTGAAAGTTGAGTTGGGCGAACATACGAAATGATAAATATTGTCAGAGCCTGAAATTAGCACTCGATGACTTGCTCAATCTCATTAAAATCTGATCTTAGTTCTCGCTATCGCTAAACAAAGATCTGAGGACATCCCATTACGGGTCAAGTCAGAACGACCTTTCATCCGCCCAATGAAAGCGTCGCTTACCAGATCATGAGAGTGACATTCGGAATGTGTTTTCTAGTCATGAAACCTCGAAAATGTCAACACGGGGTATTCCGATCGACAGTTACGACTGATTCCGTCAAAATTATCGTCTATCTCTCGCTTCCTTAGGATACACATTTGAACGGGAGGGCGTTGCACAGTACGTGGGAAGAACTGCCATACAATCTCAACTATATATTAGACATTCCGGAATGTTCGTTTGTTCAGTTTTCAAATTTTTAATCGAGAACTGTGTCAACATATTTTTCAAGCGTAGTCTGAAATAGACGTCGCCAGGTTGAAACGAGTGCCGTAAAGCTCGAGAAAGCTGCTTTCTAACTGGCTGATGTCGACTTCTTGTTAGTCATTTCAGTGGTCGGTCAAAGTTCGCGAAAGGTCGTTCTGACGTGACCCGTAATGGGATGTCCTCAGATCTTTGTTTAGCGGCAGCGAGAACTTAGATCTGATTTAAATGAGATTGTGACTTGCTTGATGAACGAGTCAACGAGCACTAAACACGAAGGCTTGTGTATTTTGGGTACAAGTCAGAACGAACTGACTATACAGAACGTAACGTGTTCAGCAAACATCATTGCTGAAGCAATATATTTACACTCTATACATTCATCTGTATGGCTGCAAGTACACTGTACATGTTCCTCCATATGATCGCCGACTTGGTTGATGCATGTCATCGATCCCAATTGCGTGGATTGGTGCTCACGATATCAACCACTGGTATCTGGTCCAGACTCGATTATTTACAGACCGCCGTCATATAGCTGGAATATTGCTGAGTGCGGCGTTAAACAACAAACCAACCAACCAACCAACCAATCATCTTTAGATGAAAATTTAGTTTGACGACTGCAAACTGACTCATGTCATTAAATAGTGATATAATTTGTCATTCTTATGACTCTTAAAGCTTTCTGTACATGCTTACCCTTTTCGAGAACACCGGAAATCAGTGGTGACACCTGGTGTTCTCGAAAAGTGAGTTAAGGGTGAGTGAGTTAATATTTATTGCCGATGTGACGTTAAATATTAACTCACTCACCCTTACCTCATTTCGAGAACACCAGGTGTCACCACTGATTTCCAGTGATGAATTTATATAATTTTCACCGCTATTTTGCCTTTTGTACTCATTGGACTGTTTCGGCGTATGGTATTCTCTGGCGTTGACGTTTTATATTTCAATCACTAGAAACATAAATACAAAAGTTTTTGTCTTGACCTTTGTTTTATTTGGATCTTTGTAATGTTGTCATAGATATACATGTTAATAAATATACACATTGTTTTATCAACATTTTGTTATATTGCACCTTTCATCAGATTTGGACCGCCTCCGTGGTCTAGTGGTGGAGCGTCCGCCCGGAGAGTGGAATGTCGACAGTCAACACTTGACATATGAGAATCAGTTTTGTGTATCATGGAAAGATAAAAACTATCTCTATCAAAAGTTGAGTAGTATAGTTGGCTCGTGTGGCAAGCATGGGACACCGGGACGTATTGTGCAACCAGTGGCACAAATACACGTTTAATCACCACGGACACTTCAGAATTATGGCTGAGAATATTATTCAGTATACTGTGTCTGAGTGGGGTATTCGTTTTAAACTGCGGCATGGTATCTCAGTGGGCTAGCACTATAAAATTGGCATTAGTCCGGACTAGTACAATAACACACACACACACAGACACACACACACGCACGCACACACGCACGCACACACACACACACACACACACCTCACCATTTTTATTCAGTATTAATCAACATTTACATCAAGCTTGGCACATTTACCACCGTGTCCTTATTTTGAAGCGGAACAAACCACCAGGGTTTATATGCACAAAACATCCACAGTAGTCAGGAGGCACAGGTCAACATATGTTCCTTGTGGTTATATGGGTAGAATATATCTATCACAGAATCCTGCAGCATCCACACAAATGTAAAAACAGAACTAAACTTAACAGCTCGTTGCACAGGAGGGATATACACTACTCAACATTTGCTGAGGACCATCGTTAGGCGAAGGTGTGATCCTTAGCAAATGTTGAGTAGTATATAAATAGTATAGTAAAGTCTATAGTTCATCATTGTCCAGTCATGGTGTGTCTGATAGGTTCCTGTGTTATGACAAATTCCATATGTTATATAGATGTGCTGCTTTAAGCCGCTCTATACTACTAAAAATAAGTTAAAGAACATCAGAGCTATATATATATGTCTATACATGTAGTTAATATGTTCTGGCTGGTGGGTATTGCAACACAGAAACTTCCAACTGTGGGCGTACTTTAAGTTGTTTTAAGTAAGCATATATTGTGACTATCTCACGGTCCTGGTTGAGAAACTGTTAATCAATTGTCCAAAGTGGACAAATCAATAGTTTCTATGTACACAATCGAAGCAATTCTCGAAAGCCAGGCATATTTCTTCAGAGGTATTTACAAAATGATTCACTATATTATTTTACCATAGATCCAAATCATAGAGACTGACCCCACACGGTCAGAGGGACTCAGTGTCAACTCACAACTCCAGAACACGGAATAAAACATTCAACATATCCTTTCAGATCTATCGCACACCAATTGGTTTCAGACTTCTCTCACACAGCAGAACACATCCTACGGCGAGATGATTCACCGGTGCTATTGCCGGAAAATTACGGAAAATGAATTTCATTCATACATAATTACACTTCTAGATCTTCTCAGACGCGACAACAAGGCTTCTTAACTGGGCCGTTAGCTGATAATGTTATATTTGGATCACATGCTTCATCTATATCAGTGACCATGTCCCAGCTGTTGATGATCTCCTCCGCCAGGACACAGAAGGCGTCGTCGACCTGGCTATTTTCCTTCACGCTGGTCTCCAAGTACGGCATACCACGACCGTCTGCATACGCCTGAAACAGGTAAACGTGGACTTCATGGTTCTGGAGCTCACCTTTTTTTCTAATATCTTTAAGTGGCATTTAAGGTGAGGTGAGGTGAAATGGGGTTTAACGTCGCGTCCAAGATTATTGCACTTACATAGCGACGTGCATGTACGCGTGTGTGTTTGTGTGGCTGCTTGTACTGGTCCGGACTGATGCCGATTTATAGTGCTAGCTCAATGAGATACCATGCCGCAGTTTAACACGAATACCCCACTCAGACACAGTATACTGACTCCGAGCCGACCAGTTCTTGTTTTAGCCCCTTAATGCCGAGCGCTAGACAGGGTAACAACAAGTACCATCTTTTAACGTATTTTGGTATGACACGGTCGGGGATCGAACCCCGGACCTTCCGCTCTCCGGACGGACGCTCTACCACTAGACCACGGAGGCGGTGCGCATTTATGGAGTTAAATGGGTGGATTTCAACTTCTTCATTGTTTTCAAACCAACCTTTCCGTACAGATATACCAGAACCACATACAGCAAGGGTGTCACTTCATGGTTCTGGGGCTCACCTTTTTTTAATATCTTAACGTGGCATTTTAGAAGCTGTGGTATCAATAAAGTAACCGGATGGATTTCAACTTCTTTATTGTTCTCAATCCAACGTTTCCAAACAGATACTAGAACCCCACAAAGCAAGGATGTCTTCATCTTTTCTAATGTATTGAGGGGCGGTCGGGTAGCCTATTGGTTAAAGCGTTCGCTTTACAATGTGTGAAGCCCATTTCTGGTGACCCCCGCCGTGATATTGCTGGAATATCGCTAAAAGCGGCGTAAAACCATACTCACTCACTCACTCTAATGTATTGAAATACTTAATTTGCAATGAATTCTATTCTATCACTTGTGAGTATACACTTTCGAAAACGAGGGTCATTTCTTATTTCAGTTAGCTGACTGAATCATTCACGTGGTTGGCATCACTCCTATGACTTAATGCGACGCATGACTAAGGGTGGCTATTGGGGTAATGTCAACTATTACAACATTATTGCGAATTCGGTCATCATAGTGCCACTACTGCAATAGGCAGTTACACCATTATGTTGAATACTTTATTTCACACAACGTATACTGCTCAAAGGAAGTTGAAGAACACATGATTCTTTCATATCACTATGGTTAATCTGTCATGGCCGATTCTTTCATATTACTACAGTTAGGCTGTCATGGCCGATTCTTTCATATTACTACAGTTAATCTGTCATGGCCGATTCTTTCATATTACTACAGTTAATCTGTCATGGCCGATTCTTTCATATTACTACAGTTAGGCTGTCATGGCTGATTCTTTATATTACTACAGTTAATCTGTCATGGCCGATTCTTTCATATTACTACAGTTAGTCTGTCATGGCCGATTCTTTCATATTACTACAGTTAGTCTGTCATGGCCGATTCTTTCATATTACTACAGTTAATCTGTTATGGCCGATTCTTTCATATTACTACAGTTAGGCTGTCATGGCCGATTCTTTCATATTACTACAGTTAATCTGTCATGGCCGATTCTTTCATATTACTACAGTTAATCTGTCATGGCCGATTCTTTCATATTACTACAGTTAGGCTGTCATGGCTGATTCTTTATATTACTACAGTTAATCTGTCATGGCCGATTCTTTCATATTACTACAGTTAGTCTGTCATGGCCGATTCTTTCATATTACTACAGTTAATCTGTCATGGCCGATTCTTTCATATTACTACAGTTAATCTGTCATGGCCGATTCTTTCATATTACTACAGTTAATCTGTCATGGCCGATTATTTCATATTACTACAGTTAATCTGTTATGGCCGATTCTTTCATATTACTACAGTTAATCTGTCATGGCCGATTCTTTCATATTACTACAGTTAATCTGTCATGGCCAATTCTTTCACATTACTACAGTTAATCTCATAGCATGACCGGTTAGCTATAGTAATATGAAAGAATCAGGTGTTCTTCAACTTCTTTTGAGTATTTTTTGCTTGGCTCTGCGTCATATAAAAGACAAACAAGGTTCCCCGTTTCCTAGATACGATAGATTTCTAAATAGGGACGTTGTACGAGTTAAATGAGGTAGGTCTTATCTAACATTATACGAACGTGTCACTGCAGATAAGGCGTATTTGGGATTGGTGATGTTATACTATATATAGCTATTCACGTGTTGATTATCAGTAATCTTTTGTTTTATATTACTATAGTATTGCATATATCGAAATTATTCTATCGTCTAGTGCGGTATCGCTGTCAATGAATGGTAATCTTGTCCTCGAGCTATGAATAATAATGACTGCAATCGTTACACCCTTACATCATTATAATCAGGGAGCAATTGTCATAGCCCTATATAAGCCCTAGGTAGTCGCTGAGCCATACTAAAAGGCTGGAGTGAGTGAGTGGGGTTTAACGCCCCTTTAACAGTATTCCAGTTATATCACGGCGTGACAGCTTAATGTAGGAGGAAGGCCCGAAGTGATGCAGTAAAAGGCTGGAAGACCTAAGTAACACGTGATCAAGATACGACGCAATGGAATTCTCTTTCAGCACACGTCAACAGAGTTTGAACATATATGACCTCTGAATAATTTTATTTTATTTGAGTAAACTTTGTGTAACGCTCTTCGTTTTTGTTACATAAAGCCTATATCAATGCCGTTCATGAAATGGCCACTTGAGGCTATCTATGAGGTAGCGTCTGTGACAAGCATATCACACGTGATCAAGGATACACTGAGCATATAAAAACATAATATAAACCTAAACAAATCGCTGACCTTGGCTGTGCTCTCGGAAACAACTCTGTGTTCGTCAAGATCCGTCTTGTTCCCGACGATCATCTTGTTAACGCCATCTGTTGAGTACTGTTCACACTGGTGTAGCCACCTTTCTACGTTGTTGAACGATGTCTGCCAGGAAATATACAATGTCAATGCGAGATAATGCTCAGTCTCGATTATCTGCAGAAACAGACTCCAATTACGCGTAAAAGGCAAATATAGTAAGTGTTTGTTTGTTGTCTGACGCCGCTCACCAATACCCCTGCCATACGTAATGCGCACAACAAACATACGCACACAGGCATACCGATGGAAATATACAATATTTGCACACCAAAAATAGCTGATATATTCGTCGACTTAGCACATTGATGTGTCCGTCATAAGACGACCATACAATCGGAAATACATCGACTAATTGACGACATGCATCCGTTTCGACTTTTTCCGAATGCTTGGACGTCTCATAACTCACGCAGATAATAATGCAGTGTTCAAACTCTACATATAACATGTACAGTTTATCTAATCGATCTTTTGATGTGCAAATGCCAAAAAAACCCATCCATTTCATGTTTCATTTTTATACATCTTAGATTTGCTATTGGTAAGCCTGTATATTACAAGAGCATACTATAAAACATAACACGTATGGTACGCATGAATGTAAGTTCCGTATTCATCCCTATACACCCAATATGCTTAACAAAATAAATGGTTATTAAATATGTCTCTATGTGATAATGTATAACTCGCATTTCACATTTACAATTACGCTATTAGAAAAAAACCCCTCGAAGATCCGGGTTAGAATTGGTCTTCACCAATGCTTGTCAGAGGCGAATAACAGAATAAGGTGGTCACACACGCTGACGTGGTTGATGCATGTCATCGTATCCCAATTGCGTGGATCGATGCTCATGGTGTTAATCACTGGGATGCCTGGTTCAGATTCAATTATTTACAGACCGCTGTTTAATAGCTCGAATATTGCTGAGTGTGGCGTTAAACAACACACAAATAAATATCAAATCAATACTGAAACAAGACTGTTCTACTGGATGTCGTTTCACAGGTATTGATCCAGCTTTTCCCTGTAAGGTGTACCGTTCTTGTACCTGGCTGGTGATGTCGTACATGATGATGATGCCATGGATGTTTCTGTAGTAGCTGGATGTAATTGCACGGAACCGTTCTTGTCCACTTGTATCCCACTGAAACATCAAACACCCACGGCATGATGTACAAAGAAACAAAGATGTACATACCAATAGATCGATTGACCGGCAGTAATCTATACTGCTGTTTCGCTGAAGTTGCACCATAAGGTAAAGGTGAGGTGAAATTTGGTTGTGTGTGTGTGTGTGTGTGTGTGTGTGTGTGTGTGTGTGTGTGTGTGTGTGTGTGTGTGTGTGTGTGTGTGTGTGTGTGTGTGTGTGTGTGTGTGAGCTTATACTACGTCATGCCGAAGACCCGGGTTCGATCCCCGACATGGGTACAATGTGTGAAGCCCATTTCTGGTGTTCCCGCCGTGATATTGCTGGAATATTGCTAAAAGCGGCGTAAAAGCATACTCACTCACTCACTCACTCACTCACTCACTCACTCACTCACTCACTCACTCACCATGCGCAATTTAACATGAATACCCTACTCAGATACAGTATACCTCGAGCCGACCAGTCCTTGTTTTATCCCCTTAATACCGAGCGCCAGACAGGGTAACAACAAGTACCATCTATCAACCTCTATTGGTATGACGCGGGCGGGCATCGAACCCCTGACCTTCCGCTCTCCGGGCGGACGCTCTACCACCAGACCACGGAGGCGGTCACCACTTTGGTGAACCAATGAACGCGTGTATGGTGCTGATAGCCAAGAATCATAATCGTTGCTGATGCTGACAATAATTAACAGAGAAGTTTATCAGGTATACAATAAATAGCAACAACAACCAGATTCACCACGATTCAGATTTTCGAAACGATCTCAGTACTTCGACCATCGCAAGTCAATGTTTGTTTCTTTGTTTGTTGTTTAACGCCGTAATCAGCAATATTCCAGCTAAATGGCGGCGGTCTGTAAATAATCTGGACCAGAAATTCCAGTGACTGACATCGTGGGCATCAGTCGACGTTATTGGGATCGATGACATGCATCAACCAAGTCAGCGAGCCTGACCACCCCATCCCGTTAGTCACTTCTTACGACAAGCATGGGTTGCCGAAGACATCGTAGTCGCAGTTTCTATGACATCTAGATCGAATATTGAGATACTCTATACTTACGATCTGAAGTTTAACCGCTTTATCCTCCACAAATATCGTTCTGAATTTCTGTAAGAAATAATACAGGCTTTGTGAAGCTATCTAAATGTTGTTTCCTAAAAAACATTGAAGCAATAATCTACGAGATTCTATAATAATCTTAGTAATACTAATAATATCGTATACGGTCACGTTTATAGATGGGTACAATGTGTGAAGCCCATTTCTGGTGTCCCCCGCCGTGACATTGCTGGAATATTGCAACAGCGGCGCAGAAACATACTCACTCATTCATACTCGTTGCATACTTACAAAATCGACCCCGATCGTAGTGTTGAATCTCTCTAGGTACGTGTTTTCCTGAAGAGCATCAAGAAATAATATTATAAAGAGTTACTGAAATTACTGTTTATTTGCATCATGGAATGGGGATTAATGTTACAGGTCCGATACAACTTGTATCCGTGTCATACGTATGTCACACGTGTACAGGTATATTTGGACGTATGCTCCAGCTGACGGGTGTCGATGCGGAATACAATGTAAAATATAATACAATAACCCGTGGGGGTCCGGTTAGAATGGGTCCCCAGGAACCTAACTATGTGGGTTGTTTTGTTAGTTTGTTTGTTGTATAACGCCGCACTCAGCAATATCCCAGCTATATGACGGTTACGATGACATGTATTAACCAAGTCTGCGACCTGACCACCCGATCCCGTTCGTCGCCTCTTACGACAAGCATAGTCGCCTTTTACGGCAAGCATGGATTGCTGAAAACCTATTCTACCCCGGGTCTTCACGGGTATGTGCTGGTTCTAGGAGGCGACCAACTGGATCGGCTGGTCAGGAATGGTGACCTGGTATAGTTGACGTGGTAACGTACCCATAAGGTGTTCACCGTTGGTCATAATATCCATCACTGCATGGTCTGGTCCAGATTTGATTATTTACAGGCTGCCGTCATATAGCTGGAATATTGCTGAGTGCGGCGTTAAACTACAAACAATCACACTATCATAGCAGGGCTAGAAAATGGGAATCACTGCTGTCACCAAGCTGTTTTAAGTGAAATAATCAGTGACTAAAATTTAACGCCGCTTTAAACAGAATTTCACTTTCAGCTTCTTGTAGGAGGAAAGCTCGAATTGATATAGGATCACGTGCCTCAAAGCAATGTGTATTCTATGTTCAAGGATAGGAGTGACAATAGTAGCACTGATTTTGTTCCCTTTGAGGAGCGTGCCGAGGCCTCAGACGTCTTACAATTTAGTGACACCAGTGGATCCCAAATCAATAAGCATGCATGAAGTCCTGAATGGAGACCGTTTCGATCCATTTGATCATTCGATTATCAAGTGTATTATATCTGAACATCTTCGTTTTGGAATTGAAGTCACATCTACATCACTCCTTTCTCTAACTTAGCACATGCTATCTCTCGCTCGCTCGCTCATTGTGTTATTATTTTCGGGCTCAAAACGAGGCTATGACAGCGAAAGGGTCCAGGGTATTTATCCTAATAGAATAGAGATATATAATACTCTGGATAATCGAGGATGAGTTTGGACTGACGATGTCGTTATCTCCCAATATGACTTAAGATGTCGTTGCGTCCTGACAAATATTTACGTGGGACGCTAAACCTACCAATAACGCAATCACTAGGCTGGTATTTCCCAAGACACCACTACGTATCAAGCACGCTCATCGTTCATGCACTTTAACATTTGAACAACACATTGTTTCAGTGAGGTTAAAATAAGCTCATTAAACAGTTTTAAAAACCCACACGATTGCTTTCATTTTCTCTTTTCATAGAACAAGAAGGAAGTGAAATGATTCACATGTACAATTCATAATGCTATTACAGCGAGTGAGAAGGAAATGGCTCCGTGATGTGTTCCTAGATGCAGATAATACCACGTGATATGCAAATGAGGTTAGGCAAGATGATACTCAAGTCGCGCCGTCCAGGTGACTTGCATGAAGTGCATGCACAGTTTATCTTCCTGGTTCAGGGATTATCATATCGACGTTTATGAAAAGAATAGAACCAGTGACCCTGGCTTAAGCTCACCTGGCTTAAATGCAGTTTTAGAAATTGGTTCACATATACACTCATTTACATACCCACTAGTTCATTATCTGAACCATATACATTACCCACAAGTTCATTATCTGAACCATATACATTACCAACTAGTTCATTATCTGAACCATATACATTACCCACTAGTTCATTATCTGAACCATATACATTACCCACTAGTTCATTATCTGAACCATATACGTTACCCACTAGTTCATTATCTGAACCATATACATTACCCACTAGTTCATTATCTGAACCATATACATTACCCACTAGTTCATTATCTGAACCATATATATTACCCACTAGTTCATTATCTGAACCATATACGTTACCCACTAGTTCATTATCTGAACCATATACGTTACCCACTAGTTCATTATCTGAACCATATACATTACCCACTAGTTCATTATCTGAACCATATATATTACCCACTAGTTCATTATCTGAACCATATACATTACCCACTAGTTCATTATCTGAACCATATACATATTTGCTTTGTCGTTGAGGAATATTATAGTTTGAACAATATTTCCCAGTAGTAGCATCGTGTGTCAAGTTATTGTGGGAGGAAATTCCTTATTAACGCTTGTTTTTGACGTTTACCGCTTTAGTGAAATCTACGATCAAGGGTATGATGCTGACAGACCGAGGATCATTAATGAGTGAACCCACGACAATCGGACCCTAGCACGCCTGTGTCATCTTTATTCAAATCTTTCGTCTATGTCGGCCCGGGAATTGAATCGCTTCACTCAAAAGTGTACAAACGTGTTCATTTTCACTCTGAGAAACCCTAACCGTTTTTACTAAGTTTGCGTTATCTACATTTCAAATACCCTCCGTAAAGAAACACATTCGTGTTCACATATATAATATTGACTACATTAGAACATTAAGTCACAATTATATTCGTTGTTTTCCAAGTGGAATCATTTGCAGTGAAACCAACCAGATCACTGAATGCCTACATGCAGCCATCGGCACAACCACATGTAGAGGGAGCGAAATATCAAACACGAAGCCGATAGATCTATTCGGTCACTATGCCAGTTAAATGAACAATCATGGACGTTTGACAAGACACACTTATGATTACTTGTACCCGGAATCTTTGACAAACCTGATGTACAATTACAACGTGTTGATTCGCATGTATTGAAGGGTTGGAATCCTCAAAACGATTTCTTCAAAGAAGATGACTCAGTGCAACATTTATAGTAGAAACGTGCAAGTTATTGTATGTATGTGCAACATGACATGACTTGCAGAGACAACAACAACGGATAATGTCATGATAACACTGATGTAACGGGTATGATCATAATATAGTAAACTACGGTTATAACGAACTCAAAGGGACCACTAATTTAGTTCGTAATAACCGTAGTTCGTTATAAGCATATATACAGCATATTTTCAACAAATGGCCGGGACTAAAATATAAGTTCGTTATATCGGTCAGTTCGTTATAAGCGTGTTCGTTATAAACGTAGTTGACTGTATATATTTACTTACCGTAAACCGGAGCAGCAGGGCAGACTTCCCCACCCCTGAATCTCCAATAATAAGTATCTTGAAAGTATAGTCACTGGAAATGAAAAAACAAACAAAAAACCATCGTTATTAATTATGAATGAAGTAAAAATATGTCTAAGTACATTTTATATCAATCTGCCGGGCAAAAGAAAGTAAAGAAAGTACACTTGAAAATTAGATCTGACAAAAAATTTACAAACAGTCGCCGAAACAAACCTACGGTCCAAAACACAACAGTGATATCCGTATCAATACGTCTCCATCGAATAACCAGTTTTTGGTAGTTTCAATTTTAGCCAACAAACATGGGTGTATACTTTCCTCCCGGCAGTTTAGTACACCTTAGGGACCCGTTTGATAAAGGGACCCCAGTAAATATTCCTGGTCGAAAAATACTATAGGGATTAGGCTCAGCGTCTTGGCATATCACGTGGCCCCAGTGGCCTGGACTTCTGTTTCTGTCTGCACTCAATAGTCTGGTCAAGACTCGATTACCTATAGTCCGACTGGACATAGCAGGGATGTTTGTGACTGCGGCGGTAAACAATATTCACTTACACATTAATGCTTACTGATTAATGAAAGAATAACTACTGCAAATAAATTAAAATAAAATATCTAAATATGAGAACTACTACTGTCAGCGCCCTGATAAATTGACTGTTTACATGTTATCATCAAGCGATAATTGGGCATCGCTTAATATGACATACGAAGTGTCGAACTGTGTGAACGTGGTCGACAGATAATTAGGTCACACTCATGCATGTCTGCCCTGAGATAGTCTTGTAAACAGACACACAGACACACATTAGGCAGGCCAACACATACTGAGATACGCACACGTCAATATTATCTCCCTCCACACAACAAACTCTTTGTACACATAGGTTGACATTAAACGCGTGTAATAATAGCACTGGAATGTGTATGCTTTATGTCAATCGTGAAGATCAATCGACCAGAACGAGACCCGTCACCCGCTATTGAAAACACACAATACCGAGTCGGTGTCAGTGTGTCGAAAAGAAAGGTGTGTAGAGAGAAAAACTATACGATACTTACCTAGGACGAACAGACTTTGTATATTTATTATTAACATATAATATTCCTGTACAAAAGTTTGAGTGTTTTAACGTCGCTTAAACAACTTCAGCTACCTAACGGAATGTCGGTTTAATGTGAGGGGGAGATTTTGGTGAAACCCACGAGCATGTGGCTATAGTACTGACATGGCAAGGATAATAATCTGGGATTCGAACCCACGATCTGACACCATAAGAACACGTGGCCACCCGTTACCCAGCGGAATTTCTACCGGAACATATCAAAACTACTTCACGACGTTTGACATAGTGACTCAGTTCAGTTCAATGTGTTTACTTGTTTATTGTCGAATCATTCAGATCAATATACAGAACATGAACTCACGGTTCTGGCAAGTGGGAACTCATCACAAGTTTCTTCCACCCGTCTCGCTGAAAAGGTCACCCACGCTACACATGTAGATATAGGCTATTCTTCCATATGGAGTGACTTTGTGAGCACAGGTAGGAAAGCGCTGTGCGTATCACTGTAAAACTATTACCAATGAATTCATCGGCCCTATTAATAGCCCCGTATACCGACCGGCCCACTGGAATAGGCAGCGGTGACTGATATACCTACGTATTGCGATTACAAGGTTAAAGGCCACACATGATATACCGTGATGGGAAAGGCCGTCCTACTTTCTCTTTGCTTGAATGGACATATTCACAGCCGAGTTTTGTATCATAAAAGTTGTGGACTTAACGCGTCATGTCTGAGTGTAGTGCTGTGAGAGCGGAGAAGTAGAATATGCATGATAATTGTATTGATAATTTGTAACAGGTGCGCCAGCCCATCCGAACTGTGTGGGTTAAGGCGTAAGGAGGCGAGTTGTTGCTGTAAATAGATCAATTGTTGATCGAAAGATAGCTCGAGTTTTATAGATACGTTGGTGCATTTATAGTCGGCCTACGGGGTTGTAAGGGGAAGAAAGATAAAAATATGGATATCTCCAGTTGGCCTTACAGCATTATCGATAAAGTGAGATATGTTCACAAAATGAGGAATGTAAAATGGGACAGCTGTTCACAAAGTCAGGAATGACAAAGTGAGGAATGAAAAAAATGAGAGGTTGTTCACAAAGTGAGATATGCGAAAAGCGGCAGCTTGTTCACAAAGTGAGATATGAAAAAAGGGACAGCTTGTTCACAAAGTGAGGAATGAAAAAGTGAGAGCTTGTTCACAAAGTGGGATATGTAAGAAGGGATAGCTTGTTCACAAAGTCAGGAATGAAAAAAATGAGAGGTTGTTCACAAAGTGAGATATGTAAAAGTGAGAGCTTGTTCACAAAGTGAGATATGTAAAGTGAGAGCTTGTTCACAAAGTGGGATATGTAAGAAGGGATAGCTTGTTCACAAAGTGAGGAATGAAAAAAATGAGAGGTTGTTCACAAAGTGAGATATGTAAAAGTGAGAGCTTGTTCGCAAAGTGAGATATGTAAGAAGGGATAGCTTGTTCACAAAGTAAGGAATGAAAAAATGAGAGGTTGTTCACAAAGTGAGATATGTAAAAGTGAGAGCTTGTTCGCAAAGTGAGATATGTAAAAGTGAGAGCTTGTTCGCAAAGTGAGATATGTAAAAGTGAGAGCTTGTTCGCAAAGTGAGATATGTAAAAGTGAGAGCTTGTTCACAAAGTGAGATATGTAAAAGTGAGAGCTTGTTCGCAAAGTGAGATATGTAAGAAGGGATAGCTTGTTCACAAAGTGAGGAATGAAAAAAAGGACAGCTTGTTCACAAAGTGAGGAATGAAAAAATGAGAGGTTGTTCACAAAGTGAGATATGTAAAAGTGAGAGCTTGTTCACAAAGTGAGATATGTAAAAGTGAGAGCTTGTTCACAAAGTGAGATATGTAAAGTGAGAGCTTGTTCACAAAGAGAGATATGTAAGAAGGGACAGCTTGTTCACAAAGTGAGGAATGAAAAAAATTAGAGGTTGTTCACAAAGTGAGATATGTAAGAAGGGATAGCTTGTTCACAAAGTGAGGAATGAAAAAAATGAGAGGTTGTTCACAAAGTGAGAAATGTGAAAAGCGGCAGCTTGTTCACAAAGTGAGATAAGAAAAAAGGGACAGCTTGTTCACAAAGTGAGGAATGAAAAAGTGAGAGGTTGTTCACAAAGTGAGATATGTAAAAGTGAGAGCTTGTTCACAAAGTGAGATATGTAAAAGTTAGGGCTTGTTCACAAAGTGAGATATGTAAGAAGGGACAGCTTGTTCACAAAGTGAGGAATGAAAATAGGGACAGCTTGTTCACAAAGTGAGATATGTAATAAAGACAGCTTGTTCACAAAGTGAGATATGTAAAAGTTAGGGCTTGTTCACAAAGTGAGATATGTAAAAGTGAGAGCTTGTTCACAAAGTGAGATATGTAAAAGTTAGGGCTTGTTCACAAAGTGAGATATGTAAGAAGGGACAGCTTGTTCACAAAGTGAGGAATGAAAAAAGGGACAGCTTGTTCACAAAGTGAGATATGTAATAAAGACAGCTTGTTCACAAAGTGAGATATGTAAAAGTGCAATCTCTTTAAAATCAGATCTTCGTTCTCCCTGCCGCTATACTAAACGAGAACTCAGATCTGATTTTAATGAGATTGGTAAAAGTGGGAGCTTGTTCACAAAGTGAGACATGTAAAAAGGGACAGCTTGTTCACAAGATATATAAAAACAGCTTGTCCACAAGTATACAAACACTATATATCATGAAATGCTGAAGACGAATAAATATTCGTTTGGAGTGATGGGTAGTTAAAACAATAACTTGAGAAAAAATATGCTTCTGGAGTGAGTAGCAGCAACTACCATTTTCTCGCTGGATAGTAACAAATGTGATGCACACGCAGCATAGTTTAGGCAAGTTTGAACTAAATCTAACTTATATCATGCACTGAATGGCTTCCGGGCCACAATCGTTATTGTTTTTATATACGACACTCAATAATAAGTTCAATATTCTTTACTTTAATTTTGGTGTCATCTGTCGCGATGGACACGAGTTGAAAACTAGACGTTTTTCAGCGTAAAATCGGCATTATTAATTCATACTACTAAAGCACAATTTTCTGACAATTTATGGTGAGGTGAAATGGGGTTTAAAGGGGCACTGATCTAACGCAATTCCCCGGGACTGGTTGTTGCCTTTGTTATTGTTTTTTCCCAGTGAATACCCGGATGTATAGCAGAAATCTAGACTAGTTCGCGACCTCTGCTGCGCCATTCGTAAGCGCATTAGTCACTTTTATGGGTAGTAATAAGGGCGTATGGTCACATTGCTTAACAAAATGAAATACAGTTTTCGAGACAATAAGGAAATGTAGGTATCTTTGTGAGCAGCATCGGTAATGGTGACGAAGTTTTGATAAGTCACTTGCTTGGTAATTTTGCGATTTTCGTTTACACTATTTTGACTTGCAACACAAAGTATATATTTCACCTGAGCATATGCTTTGTTTATAGTGTGTATATTTTTGTACTGTCAAATGTGTAACAAATTTATTAAACGTCTAAATATTCAGTTATTTTACAAAGTGACTGTAAAACATTTCCATCTGTATTATTATGACAACGAATTCCAAACATTTTGATGTTTATGTCATCACCAAGAGACTGAAAATGTAACGTTGAAAAGTACATTTCTAAGTTGTTTGGCTTTTAATCCTACATAATAATCTGTTGTGATGTTTGTAGGCCTTTTTGATCGTCTTGATCAATCTGGACAGATTTTTTAGTCAAAATGACTGAAATATTTACACATTTTATAAATTACCTGAGAGAATCACATTTTACAAATTGACGGTAATATATACACGCTTACAAAGGAAAAGACCTGTGACAACAACGTCTATCGCGCATTGAAGAATTTCCCAACCAAGACGTAGAGAAACAAGAACGAATCGGTTCAAATGAAGGAAAACAAAATGCAGATATCATAATTTCAACCTACCAAATTTATGTGTATAAGTTTTAGGCAGCTTCCTTGTATCCGTGAATATCCACACAAAGGAACAATATCCCACTCGTCTGCAGCTGTACAAAGAAACTTATTCGATGTCACGTGTCTCAGTAACAATCAAATATTTTAAAAGATATATATAGTTTCGGGATATTATAACCCGTGTTCTCAACTGATCACTTGGATTGTTTCAGGTGTTTCACATAGGTGTCAAGTCTCAATGGTCGGCTTCGAAAGCCCACGTGACAACTATTTTCATAGCGTCCACGGTTCCTAAAAATTCCATTGAGTGATAGATAACAATGATCAATCAATCAACGTATTATCAGTTAACCCTTTGAACAAAGTATGTTGTTTTTACATCGGCACTTCGCGCCATGATATGAGTGTATTCCCTTTGTTTTAGTAAACCTAGACATGTAAACACTCACTCTTGACATATCCACTGTGCAAGATAACAGTGATTAATCAATCAACGTATTTTCTGTTAATCCTTTGATGACTAGGAACGATCCGTTCATTTACAAAAGAAAGTAAATCAACTGATCATTCATCTCTTGCTGGGCTGCCACGTGCATATTACATAACACACATTTCACCTCACTTCAAACCTGGATTTAGATTGAATAATTACCCCAGACACAATAAATGCCAAATGGGAACCTTTGTCAGGTAATATAAGTGGTGCTACCACTAATTGTACCTGTAATAAATTCATTAACTGAGCATCAAGTGAATGACGACAAATACACAAGTGTAGGGTTATACGAGAAAACGTGGATGACGCAAGCCGAAATCCGAAAATGCTTTCACTGCATGGATACTGTTTTTAGTATTAAACTATTACCATCTGGGGTATTTCCAAATGACGACATCCGATGAGCTCCCTTGTTCTTTTTGTCTGTTTGATTAGGCTGAAGAAATTAATTAACATGCGCCCTTTGTCGAAATCTTTATAGATCACAGTTAACCAATCAGTGTTCAAAAATGCGTAAAACAAATATTGCCTCCAGCCTCCAAGTTTATTTAGCTGTCCTTGCAGACGGTACCCCAGTCTCTGGTCACGCTCAGTTGCGTTGCGTATAATCCGGGTACTCACGGGGGGAAAACAATAACAAAGGCAACAACCAGTCCGTTAGATCAGTGCCCCTTTAACGTCGCGTCCAAGATTATTGCACTTATATATCGACGTGCATGTACGTGTGTGTGGCTGCTTGTACTAGTCCGGACTGATGCCGATTTATAGTGCTAGCTCACTGAGATACCATGCCGCAGTTTAACATGAATACTCCACACAGTATACTGACTCCGAGCCGACCAGTCCTTGTTTTAGGCCCTTAATGCCGAGCGCCAGACAGGGTAACAACAAGTACCATCTTTTAACGTCTTTTGGTATGACGCGGTCGGGGATCGAACCCCGGACCTTCCCCTCTCCGGGCGGACGCTCTACCACTAGACCACGGAGGCGGTCACTCTGACAATTTTAGCTTTATTAGGCTATGTTATGATTAATATCAATGCAGTGTGATGCATAAATTCTGAGATATTTAACAAAACAAAAACTGTACGAGATGATGGTACATTTTCTGTCAAGGTTGTTGGAATAATACCATCTCGGTAGTTAGTATAAGAATGTTACATTGCTTTGAACAGATTCATA